GAGATGGCACGGTTCGGGCAAAGCCCATCCAGAGACTTCTGGGGCATATGGCTTCCTCAGTTGCTGTGGTCCCACACGCCAGACTTCGACTTCGTCCTTTACAACTCCTGTTCAACAAGATGTTCCATCCACAGAAGGATCCACCATCAAAGTTGATTCGAATTCCATCCTCTGTGCTCCATTCTCTACTCTGGTGGTCAGTTCCAGCCAACCTGACTGTTGGGGTTCCATTCAGACCCCGATGCCCTTCGGTAACCCTCGGTACCAATGCATCTCTCCTAGGATGGGGAGCAGTATGCTCCGACCTATACACTCAAGGCACGTGGAATCATCAAGAATCCAAGAATCATATCAACTTCCTGGAACTCCTGACTGTATTCAAGGTCCTGAGTTCTTTTGAGGACGTTCTCCGACATCGAGTCATTCAGATAACTTCGGACAATATAGCCACCATCTTTTATCTGAACAAGCAAGGCGGAACAAAGTCACCGACTCTGGCCAGACTCTCAATGAAAATCTGGGATTGGTGCCTCCCGAGAGACATTACGCTGATGGCAGTCCATCTCGCTGGTACGGACAATGTGGAAGCGGATCTTCTCAGCAGACGCATGCTCATCTCTCAGGAATGGGAACTAGATCCTTGGACGTGCGACCATCTCTTCAGTCTCTGGGGGTTTCCCGATGTGGACTTATTCGCCACCCAACAGAACAAGGTGTGCGATGTTTTCTGTTCGAGAGCGGGAATCGGGCATGGATCCCTACGGGATGCCTTCATGATCCCCTGGAGCAATCTGAACTTTTACACCTTTCCCCCGATTCCTCTTATTTTGAGAGTGATAGCGAAGATAGTACACAATCGGTCCACAGGGTTACTGATTACCCCTTGGTGGCCACACCAACCTTGGTTTTCGACACTGCTCGACATCTCCTGCGGAGAATACCTTCACCTTCCACTGCTTCCGTACCTCGCCATCCAGATCTACTGTCATTGAACTTAACAGTGTGGCGAATCTGATAACTAACATTGCGCTATCGGTATCGATGGCATCTGCAAGTGGTTCGAATCCTGCCCCCGGATCCGGTGAGTTCAGCACTTCTTCTTCTTCTTCACTTGTTCCTCCCGCGTCATCGGATCCAAGCAACGCCCCGTCGGACCCAACAGCCTTTCTTCCGGATATTCAGCACATCTTTGATTCTGCATTAAAACCGTCTACATGGAAGTCCTACGCAGCCAAATGGCGACGATTTTTGACCTCTGCCGAGTCTCGTTCGTTTTCTCCATATGCTGCATCTATACATCAAATCCTTCAGTTCCTATTAAAACTGCATCAGTCTGGACTGAAGCCGTCTTCCATTTTATTTATTTATTTATTTATTTATTTATTAAAACATTTCTATGCCGCCCCATTCGCCGAAGCCTCGGGGCGGCTCACAACATAAAGTTAAAATACAAAAAATAACAATATAAAATAAGTGGCCCTGGCCAGATAAAATAAGTCGCCCTGGCCATTAAAGTGTACACGGCAGCAATCACCTATCATCGTGGCTTAGTGACAGATCACCCATCTTCTCTCAACCTATTATAAAGAGATTTCTGAAGGGACTTCATAATCTTAACCCATCAATCAGACCAGTGATGCCTACCTGGAGTCTCTCCGTAGTCTTACAAGCGCTTATGAGAGCTCCCTTCAAACACTTAGCAACAGTCGATTTACGCCTTGTTTCCTGGAAGACAGCGTTTCTTGTGGCGGTTACTTCAGCTCGAAGGGCTAGTGAGCTCTGCGCTCTCCGCATAGATCCTCCTCACCTGAATTTTCACAGAGAAACAGTTGTCTTGTGATTAAATCCATCTTTTCTTCCTAAGGTAGCCTCCTCTTTTCATATGGGACAAGACATTGTCTTACCTGCCTTTTTTCCATCCCCGATGACTCCGTTAGAAAGATCGTTGCACTCACTTGACGTTCGGTGCTGCCTAGCCTTCTATAGGTCGAGGACTGAGTCTATTCAACGCTCAAATAAACTCTTCGTCAAATACTCCACTCAAGATCAAGGCGCCCCAGTCACTCCTCAGAGGCTTTCCAAGTGGATAGTCCATACAATTACCCTAGCTTATCAGCTAGCTTGTATTGACTTACCTACAGTTCCTTGAAGCCACTCGACTAGGGCTGTCGCTACCTCCTCTGCCTTCGCGTCAGGAGTCCCAATTGATGACGTATGCAGAGCAGCTACTTGGGCAACTCCTTCCACTTTCGCTAAGCATTATCGCCAAGATGTTCGTGCTAGGCAAGACTGCTCCTTTGGCAGGGCCGTTCTTTCATCTGTTCTTCGTTGAGGACACCTCCCCTCCTCCAATAATGGTAAACTTGTTAATCTACCCATATGTGTGATGCACAGAGGCCACGACAAAGAAAAGCAGGTTGCTTACCTGTAACTGATGTTCTTCGAGTGGCCATCTGTGCAGTCACACAACCCACCCGCCGGCCCCGCTCGGTGTTGTTGAGTGGACATATTCATTGGTACTGAATGTCCCCTTTTTTATGGTACCGATATCGTTTATAGTAGGGATATTTTTTTTTCCACATGGGGCGAACGTTCGGTCTTCAAAGACTGAACAAAATGGCGGACACGCCGCTCTTTATAGGCTATAGGGGGAGGGGGAGCGGAGCTTTCCCGCCAAAAAACTGTTAGCTTTCAATCTTCTGGCCAAAGGCATTGCGCAGGCGCAACACCCATATGTGTGACTGCACAGATGGCCACTCGAAGAACATCAGTTACAGGTAAGCAACCTGCTTTTCATGGGTCGGGCCAACGACATGTTGAGACAGCCCCATGGCTGCCATGGAGGCCATGAAGTCCTGAGCTGCCCCAGTCAGAACCGTCTCAGCATGGAGATTGAAGTCCCCCAGGACCAACATCCTGGGAGTCTTCAACACCAAATCTGAGACAATCTCCGTCAGCTCAGGCAGGGAGTCTGTTGGGCAGAAGGGTGCACAGTACACCAACAGAATCCTCAGTCTGTCTCGGTTGTCCAACACCAAGTAGAGGCACTCTAGACCCGGCCTTGAGAGGACAGGAAGCCCCGTGAGGGAAAAAGAGGCTCGATAAACCAAAGCGACCCCCCCCCTCCAGGCGTGGTCGGTGCTGGATCAGATACCCGGGCGGGCACAGTTGAGAGAGGGAGACATCCCCCTCCTCACCTGCCCAGGTCTCTGTAATGCAAGCCAGGTCGGCCCCCACATCCACAGTCAAGTCATGGATGAGGGAAGATTTATTGTGGACCGACCTGACATTAAGCAGCAGCACCGACAGGCCCGGGGGGCGGTTGACTGGACTACCTGGAACCCTCAGGCTGGGGGAATAACCAGAAGGGGGAACAGGCGCTAGCCATCTGTTCCTCCTTCTTCTACGCGGACACGTTAGACCCCCCCAACGCCATAACGTCCATTGTCCATGACCACCCCAGTGGCAGCGCCCATGCGCTCCCCAGGCAACCCCATATTCATAGCTGAGAATAACTCCATTAAAAATAAAAGCTAAAACTCATTAAAAACACCTAAAAACAACTTAAACCCCCCCGCCCCAAACATCCCAGTCCAAGTAACAATTCCACCCACCAGCCGACAACAGAGCCCCTGGCCAGCCCAGCCCCCGCACAGCCCCCAAACGGCGGTGACCGCCCTTTGGCCGTTGCCCTTCGGCCGCTGGCCCCGGCTGCGACCGGCAAGATAAGCCGGCAGCCGTCCCTGCGCCCCACCCCCAATCAGGCATGGCTCTCACCCAGAGCCGGTGGGGTGGAGAAGCAGGGCGGGCGCACGGCACTCGCCGGCCGCCAAGATGGCGGCATCCTCCCCGGCGGCAGTGTCGTCGACCGGCCTGGCGTCCTCCGGCCCCGGTGGGTCCAGCGGTGGCCGCGGGGAGCAGTGTCAGCTGTCCCCTAGGGCCTGGTGGAGCGCCCCCAATGTTCCCTGGCTTGACGGTGGCAGCAGCACGGCGGCAGATGGTGGAGGGAGGGGGCAGGAGAGAAAGGCCCAGTTCCATGAGAAAGCCACATTAAAATGCTTGGGATGTGCATTTGACTAAACATGGAGAAGATTGCACAGTTAATCCCCAGAAGACACAGTATTAATTTTTACTGCTAAACTGGAGCTATAGCCATGTGAAGTTTCAGCTAAATCCCAAATGCGACAAGCATAACTTGGTTTTACTGGAGGCTGGATAATTGGGGTGGATTAATGATTTATTTTGCACATCATGACCAAGTATGCATTAAACAATCCATAGTTAGTCAGGGCCACACAGGAACAGGTGAACTGCCTCTTGTCGAATCCATTTCCAATTTGTAAAAATATTTTGCATTTTTGGAAATGGAAACCCAGAACTCCAGCTTGTTAAACGGGAAACAATCCAGAGTTTTAAGCGATGGATTGTAGTTAGATTAAAACTATGCATTATTTCCCCCTCAGTAACTGAATTCTAAGTTTGTGTGTCATGATGAATAACCCAAGAATGTCCAGGGATTGTTTACAAAAGAATGAATCAAGTGAAAATAGTAAGTGAGCAGGTGTCAGCTTGCTTGCTCCTGACAACCCATGAGTTGTCTGTTATGTGTAAACCAAGTCACTGAGTGAGCAAATCTGTATTGATTTTATGGCATACTTGTAGTTTTTTTCAGAATTATAGCAACCTTCCTGGTGATTTACCTGCTTTGATTGGTATACCAGTTACGGCCATTCCTAGATAGGGTCAGCCTGGTCACAGTGAACAGACCACACTGTTTTAATAAATATTCTACACCACCTTGGTATTTATCAATGAACAGCAATAAATAAATATTCTATTAAACAAAATAGAATTCCTTTCAAATATATGTATCCTTTGAAAGTTACATTTTGCAGGTTTAATGGTAGAGCAGGATACAGAATCTGGTAACAAAATCACACAGGGGTTAGAATTCTTGGTAATAATACATTCAATGTACACTCATGTTATCTTGTTTCTAGGTACATAGAATCTATGCCAAAGACCCTTGGAGACTTGTACTACAGTCTGGGGACACAGATTCCTCCAAAGCTGGCCTCTGTCCTTCCAGCAGATTTCTTCAGTGATGATTCCCGAAGTCAGGAGAGCCAAACTCCATCCCTTCCTGCTTCCACAGCCTCTGTTCCACTTTCCAGAACAGCTGCCTTGAGCACCGAGACTGATCAGCTGGAAGAGCTGCGTACTAGATCTGCCAAGAAAAGGTGGTTGCACTTAAGAGAAAAGGAGTAAATGGCACTGAATTTAAATTAGACTATGGGATGGGAAGGGGGTATATTTACTTGTGAATGATCTACATTTAGGTTTTCAATGAATCAGTGTGAGGCAGATGTATTTAACACTGATATACTATTTTTCATCCTATTAGATTTCAGAGCAACATGCAACATAAAACAGCACCCATAAAAGATGAAATTTTTGGAGAATTTCATACATATGCAAAGTAGAAATTCACTGATTTTCAAACTGTCTTTTACAGAGTGCTGGGTTTTTTTGAAAATTAAGCAAATACCTGCAAGATAACACAAGTAGTGGTGGATAAGCTTTCCTGAAAGCCAGTTTGCTTTCCACTGCTGGCCTTCCCACATCAGTTTGCATGTGTGTGTGTGAGGGTACACTTTTAAGGTGTACGCTAGGGCCCAACAGACTTAGCATCTAAACCAGATTTCCTAAAACTCATCCCACAAGTTTTCTGAAATTCTAGTGCCTGGGTTTCCATGGGAGATACACAGATAGGCTGATGTGGTAAGTATAAAACTGTGAATATCTCTGGGTTCCTTCCAGTATCTCTGACTCCATCTTTATAATCTAAATTTATTTAGCAACAATTATTTTCTAGTGTTATGTATAAACAAAAACAGCTTACAGAATCCAGACCCAGTGGGTTTACAGCTAACAGTGGAACAGCCTGAGGAAATCATGTGAGAAAGTCAGTTCAGTGCATTTTTTTAAAAGTCACATTTGTTTCAGGGTGGCTTCTCAAAAGGTTTTTAAAAGAATCATAACCCAAATGTAACGCCTTCCATGCACTATTGTTAAAGTTTTGTCTTGTGCTTCTAGAAAAAGTACGCTAGCCAGACACCGAAGTGTGACAGAATCATCACAGAACTTACGCCAAATAGAGATTCCTCAGATACCCAGAAACCGTACTCAAAAGGTAAGCCTTTTTCTGGGGTGCAAATTGTTTGTAGCCTTGAAAGGTTTGTAGCCTTTTCAATTGTTTGAAAAAAACCCTGAAATGATCAGGCCAAAATATGTGCAGCAGTGAGTGAGACGGTGTAACTTGGTGTCCTGCAATAGCAGGGGGTTGGACCTGATGGCCTTCATGGCCCCTTCCAACATTACTCTTCTATGATCCTATGTCCTTGCTTGCCTGTTATAAATGGAACAGTCATTTTGAGATTGTGGTGATAAGCTGTTTTACATGTAAGGAAGATCCACTTATTTGATTTTCAGTGGACTCTGAAAATCATCTTTCCATAAAAATGGCTTTCAGCAACAGTTATCCAACTGAGATTTATAACAAGTGTAATTTTGCAGTCTTTTCAATACTACATTTTAATCTTCAGGACAACTTTCATGCATCTCTTGATGTGAAATCAGTACCAGCTGCACAGAAAATGGCAGTGCAAGGTAGGGATCCTTATCTTCATGAGGATGCAAGGTACCAGGTGGTTCCAGAGTGGAACCTTTTTTTCTTTTAAAGAGTTTCTTGTAAAATGTTTTTCACTCTCCCAAAGTTAACTTAGAGGAAGCTTATTTGACATGTGTCCATGCATTAAAAATTACTTAAGAACTGAAGGATGCAACTCTCCATGCTCCCAGATGGTTTGGAATAACTTAGTTTTACAGTGTCCTCCTGTTTTAATCCAGCAAGACTGTGAACTTCTATAATTATTCTCTCTATCTGCCAGAAGTGTTCTGCCCATATACACATGGATTCATTTTTGTAAACTGTATTTAGTGAAAAACTGAAACATGAATGCATAGAAATATATCACTGGCATTTTTTTAATTTTTAAGAGTGACATTCTCATTGCATTCTGCAAAACTTGGTTCAAACAGCACTGTGTGTATGTTCTGTGTAGCACATACTCATATAATGTCAGCTTCCCATATTTTCTCAGTAGCTGAGTAAATCTGACATTTCTAAAGAAACTCTTCCTGTGAGCAGACTGATAGGTTTTTAAACTACTTGTAAAGGTCTTGTTTTTGCTGCATTAGTTTTTATTTCTCCATTTAAACAATTCCTTCTCTTTGCCTTCCTGATGCTTTTGGAAGTGACAAAAGTACGAAGGAACCTCTTCAACAAGGCAGTGATTTCTCCAAGCAAAAGATCCCTCACAAAGATTCCTCGGAGCCAGTCAGTATCGGCTGTGGAAGGCCTAAAATGCAACCAATCTAACAAGGGTACCAGAGGTGAGAGATGCTCTGGTGCTTTGCTGGTTAGTCTTGTTATTCCTTATTCCATATGTCTTAACTAATTCTGAGTCATGTATTGATTGCCTTTTCCTTTAAAACAGGCATGCTCACCACACAGTGTTTCTTTCCCAAAGAAGCTCCTCACCTGAAGCAAACATTTTGCTATTTTACACTTAGTGAAGATGAAAGCCTAAACAGTTGCTGTAGGTCTTCATATAATGCAGTTAAGGCAATGTGTGAATGTATAGGGCAGGGGTCGGCAACCTTAAGCACTCAGAGCCATTTGGACCCGTTTCCCACAGAAAACACAAAACCCCTTTGACATCTAAAATGAACATAACACTGCATATATCGTTTTTTACCTTGATGCCAGGTATAAAAAAAACTATAGTGTTTTTTTATACATCCAGATATTATATATCTCCATCTGGATATTTTTCAGCAAAGGCTGTGTGTTTATTCTGGAAATGTCTTGCAACATTCGACTTTTTGTTGTTTGCCATTTTCTCACCACATATTAAGCATACTGGTAAACCAGTCTCGTCAGCAGTGAAAGCAAATGAATCTGCCCACCTACCATTAAACGTTCTGTTTTCTTTTGAAACTTTTCTTTTCTTGCATTTATCCATGGTTGGCTTACCGGGGTCGAAACACTCAATAAATTGCGTGCCGGTGGGTGTCGCACATTGGCAGTTGTGACACATATTTTGAGCAACGGAGCCGCAGCAGAGGGATGAAAGAGCCACATGCGGCTCTGGAGCCGCAGGTTGCTGACCCCTGGTATAGGGTGTGCCTAGGGAGGTTCCTGTGGCTGGAGATGGACATCAGCCTCTAAGCAAGGTGCAGGGAGATGTTACTGTTCCTGCAGAGTTGCATACAGGTCCAGAAGTCTCATGAGAGATGTGGGAAATTCACAACTCAAGGCTTCTTAGGTAGGATGAGTGGAAGAAAGGAAAACGTGTAGAAGGCTAGGCAATGCTGCTGCAGTAGAAGGAAGCATGTGACAGCTAGGCCTGAAGAGACGGCTTGTAGTGCTTAGAACAAGCAAGACGTTGACAGGTGGACAGATGACACACCTGGTCCCTTCCTTCAGTTCTGGGTTGGAAGCAGGGAAGACCTATGTGTTGTCAGGAGTTCCTGCCCCAGAACAATGGTCCGTCCATCCCCTGTCCCCGTTAAAGTGCTGTGACAGGAAAGTGTGGGAGTCAACTACATTTGGCGGTGACTGTTACAACATGGAAAAAAGGAAACCAGTTGTAAAGCAGATTTAATTGTGAAGGACTACTTTCTCAACATTAAATTATTGAGTATATAGCCACTTGGCGTGCTCAGCACAAACGATTGTGCAGGCTTGCTGCCTGGTAAAGCTTTGTTTATGTAATGCACATCCTGCATTTCTGCCCAAAGGAGGTGCTCGAGGCAGCTATTAAAGATCAGATTAGAAACAAAAGCACAGTTTAGAACATAGCGATAAAATATATACATTGCATCCAACCACCTACCCCACCCCTTCAGCAGCTGAACAGCTGAAATGCCAAAGGTCTGCTTCAAGAGAAACATCTTTGCTTTACTTTTCAGGCAGTCACAGGCTATTGACCAAGAGGGTGGCAGAAACACCGCTGCACAAGCAGATCTCCAATAGACTGCTGCACAAGCAGATCTCCAATAGACTGCTGCAAAAGCAGATTACAGGCCGGTGAGTGAAGGCTGCTTATTGATGTTACTTGCTAGAAAGTGGAACACTTTTAAAGCCCAGAGTCTAGAGTCTTTGTTGCCACTCTGCTGAATCTAAAATACTCTTCTTCACAGGTCTTCAGATCCTGGATCTGAAATTGGGGTTGTAGAAGAATCTCCTGAAAGAAACATAACCTGTAGGTATTGATATGACTTGGGCCCCCTGTTTGCATGTGTCTTTATTATTGTACTTGTTTGTTTCAATCAATCTTAAAACCACATTTTAGATTAGATTATCCTTCCCAGGAGGAATACAGTAAAACGCCATCCTTAGATCACAAAAAGCATTAAAAAGTCACCATATGAATTTTATATACCATTATTATTATTATTATTATTATTATTATTATTATTACATTTTATACTGCCTATAGCCAAAGCTCTCTAGGCAGTTGACAGCAATAGACTCATACACTCAAGTCACCCATCCCACTTCTGCCCAGGCCTGACCCTGCTTAGCTTCCAAGATTAGGCAGGATCAGGCACTTCAGGCTACATGGAAGCTATCTCATTGCCTCAGCACATTGCTTTCTGGACTATTGACAGATAGCTAAACATTAAAACAGCAAAGCATATGCAAGGATACAAGCAGCCCAACTATAACACAAAATAGATAATATGTAAAACCACTGCAACCAATTTAAAAACACATCTCAATCAACAATTAAAATAACACAAGAAGAAAAAGATTTCGCTAGTACCAAAATGTATAAAGGATCAACGCCAGGTGCACCTTTCCTGAAGATTTGATTCCATAACTGGGGCACAGCTACCAAAAAGGCCCTTTCCCCTGTAGCCAACCTGCTTGCTTCCTTTAGCGGTGACTCTTGGAGAAGGACCTCCATCAAGGATCTTAATGTCCAGATAAGGGAAGAGGCATTCCTCAAGATATCCAGGTTCTAAGCCATTTAGGGCTTTAGACATTACTATGAGCACCTCGAAGCAGGCCTGGACTTCAGTTGGTGGCTGGTGTAATCGATATTGAACAGGGCTTATTTGTTCATATTGGTCTGTCCCAGCCAATCGAAGGATGGCCCTGTTCTGCACCAAGTTTCCATACCATTTTCAAGGGCAGCCCCACATACTGTACATTGCAGGAATCTAAACACAAGATTACGAGTGTGTGGAGCACCATTGCATGAATGACTTCGAAATGTGGATGGTGGCGGTCACTTGACTGTAACTGAGGTTCTTTTGACAATGGAAGAGAAGATGGCCAGACTTAGTATCACTTCTGGTCTGGCCTGGATGCCAGCAGTGAACTACCTGTCAGATTATGATTGTGGATGTCAGAAGGATCTTTGCTGAATTTTAAGTAATGTGTTTTGGGAGTTTGATTCTAGTCTTTTAGCAGTCATACAGACTGATACTGGGTGGGTGTAAGTGTAAGCCCAACTTGACTCCTCCCTGTCCCTTTATTCTGGCTTATTCATAGGTGGTTTAAGAAGAAGCCCATGGGTCAGGCAGCTGCTGCTGGATAGAATACTGTATTCTGAGCAAGTAGAAGCCCCATGTGATCAAGATAGTCTAACAGGTATGAAGGCAAGGGAGCATTTGATGCTTTAGGATTCACAGAATTATGTGAAGCCTCTCTTCACCAAATAGATAGATATTAGATATTAACCAACACCTTAAGAAGGATGCTCAAGTTTCAGACAAAATATGGCTTTTTTGTCAAGGTTGGTCAAAATTTTAGACAAGAATTGTTGTCTGGTCAAAACGAAGCAATTTGGATGGGGTTCATTCTAGTTTGGAGATTCTGGTTCATTGCCCATACATTCTAAGATCTTTGAAAAGAACCTCAGATTATCTCACCAACCTGTAGAGGAGAGGATTGTCTCTCAAGTGCCCTGGTCTTAATTCTAGTTAATTTTCTTCCTTTTAGAGGCCTAGCAGTTTATTATAGTCGTATAGTAAGTCGGAGACTCTGGGTCTCCACTGAACAGGAGGGGAGAATGGGTAAGCTGCCCTGAATTCCTTGAAAGGAAAAAGGGGCAGGGTATAAGTACAATAAATAACAATAAAGTCTGGAAAACAGGAAGGTGAGGGGGGCACTTCAAAAAAGCGAAGTTGGGGGGCAACTATACTATTTCCCTGCATGTTTCTTTCAGCAGAAGATTCATCCCCAAACAGCCTTAGTGGTCTGAGTGGTTGCCATATATAGGCAGAAGGAGAAATTAAGCAGCCCCTGCTTGATGGTTCCTTGGCTAGAAAGCACATCCTCCCCTCACATTGTCACCATTCAGAAGAGCCACACATTTCCTGACCTAAGGCTCCATCCAGCTGCATATCCCAGGCAGCCATGTACTAGCTAGAACTATTTTGCTCTTGGCTACTAGTGTGGCTGCACTGAAGTCTTCCTCATATTGTAACCTGAGATACAAAATGCAGCAAGCTTTTTAGAGCCAGTAGACTTTCGGTCCTACTGGCTGGAGGATACAGCTATTCCTGCCTGTCATTGCCAGTCTAAATGGCCACGTTTTTGTTTATAGGCGTGGTGTCTCCTCCTGCAAAGAAAGCCATCCAGTCCCCTAAAAGCCTTCTCTTTGGAGCAGTTGTTGATGTGCTCAGTATTGAGGAGATGGGCTCATCCAAAACAAGAAGAAAATCCTTGGCTTCTAGCAAGCTTGTTTACCAGGTAAAATTGTTATCCTGATATGTCTGTCTCTGCTGTATCTACCTGTGTCTGGTCTACCCGCCTTCTCAGGAGTCATTTCTAACATATAGCTTAAAATGTGCAATGTCTTTAATTAGTGATTTAATTGCTACACAATGTATTGCTGTTCTATTCCTGCTTGGAAACTGTGGTCCCTTTTCCTTCTTTTACAGACACCAAGAAAAAATCCTATTCAGTTTTCCCAGAGACTAAGTCCCTCCAACAATATTCTGAGAAGATCTCCACGGATTCAAGGGAAGTTAGAGCAGACACCTCAGAAAACCTCAGCCTTAAAGCATGCTCCAGCTACGCATTTGGAAGATCTCTCTTCCCCTTGTAGACAGAAGAACAATTCCTGGCCCAAATCCACTGAAAAGGAAGATCCTCTGACAGAGAAGAAAAAGTGTTCTTCCCCTTCCAAGGTTGCCAAGCTACAGACTTTAGCAAAGCAGGCAAGAAACGAAGCACTCGATGATGTATTTGTTTCATCTGCAGGCAGTTCTGATTCAGTAGGTGCTTTGTCTATAACAGCTTCTCCATTTCCATTAAGTTCCAGTGGAATGTCATTCTCACAGCTGCAGTCTCCAAGACGCTCCTTGAGAATTGCCCAGAAAATGGTTTCTCCAACTCCTGCTCAGAGGCACTCTCTTGAGGCAAAAAGACTCTCATACCAGGAGCTTTCATCATTGGAGTCAGACTCTGTGTTATCAGAAGTAACACCCACAGTCTTTGGAGGTACACATTCAGAGCTGTTGTCAAGCCCAAAGAGTGCAAAAACATTTTCTCTACAAGCTGATTCTGCTTTGCTACTTGACGTTAACTCTCCACCTTGTAATTCATCCTTAATTGCAGTAGCAACATGTACTCTCCCCTCTCCTGAGACTCAAATACTAAGCAAGCAGTCTTGTACACCCAAAAAGTCTCCTTTGACAGGTCAGAATGCCACAAATATCTCCCCAGCAAAAGCCGTCAGATCTTCCTGCATGCCCAAAGAGCACTTAAACCTGTACCGAAGTAATGAATGTCAGTATAGGAACAATGCCAGTCTTTCTGCTAAAACCAATGCATTCTGCAAACCTGAGAATACAGAAGGAATGACCTTGATGCAGGATATACAAACAACGCAACAAACAAGAGCAATAACTCCAACTAAAAGAAGAGGATTAGAAAGACACCCATCTCCTAAATTTTCCCCTGAAGAGCATGTGCTTATCCCAGATGCAGTAGTGGTGTGTGAGCAGTTGGAGACCCCCTGCCTAGTCAAGAGGTCCTTCATAGGTAGCTTTCCAGTAGAACAAGGCTCAGGGACTTCACAAAATAGGATTTTGCCAGCAGAGGCAGCCAAGGGTTTGCAGCACCCACTCTTCCAGAGCCCTCTTGGACAGAACCAGCCTTCCTGGCTTCCAGCCCCAAAGTCCGGCACTTCCGCATATGCATTGCGTTGCACCCCAGAGAGAAAGCAGCGGGAAGCTGCAGCGCGACTAGGCAACCCTGAGAACAAGGCCACGTGCAGCACCCCCAGGACTATTCACACACAGCCATTGCCAGTTAGTCCACCAACCTATGAAGTTGAACTAGAGATGCAAGCTTCTGGCCTGCCAAAGCTCCGCATCAAAAAGGTTGCTTCTGGATCAACTCTGGAACTGCAGTCTCATGCAGAGCCTGGAAAACCCAAAGGAGAGGAAAATGATCCTGCTCTGGGGGATCTTTCTGTGACCTGGTGTGGTAAGCACTCAGCGAAACCAGAACCTGCCTCCAGCTCACCCTCCTGTATTCGCTCAGCCCACAGTAGTCCTGGGAAGTTTGGAGGGAATGGCCAGACCTACATATGCCAGTCATACACTCCAACACATTGCGCCTCTTCTATTGCTTCCCCATCCCAGAGCAATGCTGGCACACACTGCACACCTTCTCCAAAGCATAAAGGAAGGATTACCCCTGAAGCGATCAAAGACTGGCCGCGAAAGAAAAGAGCTGCTATTAGTTGCAGCAGAAGTGACAAACAGGGAGATGCCCCTGGAGATGCAGGGGAAATAAGAGCTTCTGCCTTCTTTAATAGCAATAAAGCACTGCTCTTGGGGGAATTTGAACTTGAAGGAGTCTACAAACTTCAAGACCAGTCACCTAGCAGTAACGTAGAGCCCAGTGGTGATGAGAGCATCTGCAGAAATACTTCTGGATTGAAGTTCAGGAAAAGGGCCTTTGAGCACCTGTCTCCAGAGGAGGAAACAAGCCAGGAAGTAAAAAGGTCCTTCAGAAAGAGAGCACACTCCGGTTTAGCTCCCTACTCAACAGAACTTCTGAGCATCAGTAAGGGGGAAGTGTCCTCAAACAGGACCATCCTGGAGGAGGAGGAGATCTTCAGTTTTTCAGGTATCTTTGGATTAAGATCAGGTATTGAGAGGGAATGGGGGAGCTTAATAAAAATAGAAAGTGGGATAAAAGGGCCAGACAAAATGTGCCCCCCCCCCCAGGAAAAAACATTGTCCCTAGGATTTGCCCATACTCCACAACTGGCTCAATATTTTTCCCTGCAAGAACATGTGATTGACTGTGGCTTAATAGACATGCCATTCTGAGAAGGGCATTAAAGCAGTTGGCCTCCAATATCTCTGCGCTTTAATTCTATTAATACAGTAAATAGGAGTTAGGAGTGGTCTTACACACAAATTTTGCATTGTCCCCTAGTTATGCAACACGGCCAAGGATTTCCATAAGAAACAAAGGCCCTTTCTCCTCATCAAGCTCACTTGGAATTCCTGGAATGTTACATGCCCTGCCTTTACTTTCTTCTTCAGTGGCCTTGTTTTCCCTCCTTCAGGTCTGACTCCACCCAAGTCTTTAGGAAAGAGCACCATTTCTGCTAGTGGTCTTCTTGCCCTAACACAGTCTCCACTGCTCTGTCACACCTCATCCACGAGGAAGCGTTCCACAGGTAAAAGCTTACAAGGTATTTTAAGCAACTGAGTAGTGCCAAAGAGAAGACTGGACTGGGGGGAAAATAATGAACCAGTGACGGATAGTGGATATGCTCTTATTAAAGGTTCACTGTGAAGGCACACAATATATTTGGGAACTGTATTGCTTAACAGGCTTCTGCTCCTGCTTTCAAAAGAAAATATCTGAAGTATCCTAGTCCAGCTTACTGTCAGAGGGATGACACAGAAAATGTCTGAAGGAGGGGAAAGAAAACCACATTAGTTGTTACTTACTCTTAGATACAAAAGCTTTCCTAAAAACCAGCTGGAATGGGGCTCAGTTTGAGGAGGAGCTAGAAGTTGCTGATGGAATGGCCGTGCTTCCCTCCTCTCCTGCAGCAGGCTGATGATGCAACCACAGCTGGGTGGGGTTTTTTGTCAGCCCTTTATTTTCTGTGTTCTTGTGGCAAATTTCTGCAGTTCAGCAACTTACCTGTACCTTTCATACACTCTGCTGCCCACACAGGAGATGACTCTGAAGTGTCTGCAGCTGTAAATGAAGACTTCTCCCCGTTTCAGAGGGCAGTGGCCTCCAGACAGCGTTCCATTAGCAGGACCTACTCACGGAAAAGGCTGCTTTGCTGAACTGTGAAACAAAACTGAGGGAACTCTTCTTCGGAGGTGTTTCATGCCTATTTTAAAATCAAAACTAAGGGCCAACCACAAAAGCAGCATGTCTTGCTCATGAATTCACAGTTGGATCCAGTCACAGGAAACATTTTGCTCAGCATCAGAACCAGAAAAAAGTGGAACTATGCTGCAGCCAATGGCAGAAAGTTGCCCTTGGCCTTTTAAGTAGGACTGAGGTTTCAACAGATGAGGAGGTAAATGATTGAGAACATAACCACTTTTAAATATTTCTTTTGTAAAATAAATTTTGCTTTGATAAGTTTGTTAAAAGAATTGAAAGGATTACTGTTTATGCTGGCTACAGTCTCTTGCTTACACACTACTTAAAAACCATTTCTGCAATAACACTTGAAACATACAGAATCACATTTTTACTTTAGAATTCATATTAACTCAAAATGCTAAAGTTTACTGAATGTAAACACTATCTTCTAAAGTTGTCTTTAGTTAGTACAGAGAGAAAGATAAAGAAAACTGTTATGGTTCAGCTGTAAACAACTGGACATCAGACCTTTATCAAAACTTGTTCTGGTTTATTAGAAGTTACATTATAAAAAGCATATTTTATGTACATGTCTTCCTGTAATTTCATGTAACAGTCCAAATTGTTTTGCACCTTCCAAAGGAAGGTGGCCTTTTTGTCAGAGGTAGTGGTCTTTCCTGTGAGAGGTACAGGAATGGAAGAGGGGAAATGGCTGACGTGCTTGGTTTTGGTCCCCCCCTCCATCACACAATAGGCAGATGTAGAAAAATTAAAACTAAAGCCAAAGCAATTCCTACAAGTCTTGTTAGCTCTAGAAGTACATTAGCACCTTAGGTTAAGCAGCCAGCCATTATTATCTGCAGTGGTCTTGCATTAACACATATGTCCTGTAGGCAATACCCACTACCGACTTATTCAGGCCTAGAGTGGGTTTTTCCTGACATCAATGATTTCAGGACAAGACATTCCAGGAACGAGGTTCAAGCCAGCCCTGTGCAGTTCCTTACGAGATTTCAAAAGGGGAGCTATAGTCAGTGGCAGGGATGTTTCCTTGACCAGACCTGCTCTGGTTGGAAAATCCACTTCCTTCTGACGAGGGTCTTCTGGCACCAAGGTGTTTGTACCAGACAGTGAAGAGCGCTTCCAGGTGGATGGCAAGGCTGCATGCACCAAATCCCGGGGTTCCTCCCCATTCCGAACATTTCTTTCAGAGACCTCTATCTGCTCCAGCGTGCCATTAGTATTTAAGACATTGTGCATCTTAAGTGAGCCAGGTCTCTCTCCAGCTGCATGTGTCGGTTTTTCCATACCTGTGTGAGGAGAGAGCAACATTTTAATACTCTGCAACTGTTAGTCTTTTTGCCTTGTGCAGATTTCCAATCCTGTTTGTAAAATGGCAGCCTCAGAGAACAGAATCTTTAACATAAGTGACAGCAGCAACTTGAGCAGAGTCTTCAGACATTATCTACTGAAAAACCTATTTCTAGCCCCCATAGCTGCAGAGAGATTCTCTAAATATACAGAATAGTACCTACAGAATGTGGGTTGAGTGGGCAGCACATTGTAGTATCTGCACTGCATAACACTGATTGATGTATGCTGCCTAGAGCACTCTTCAGACTGCTTGGTGGCATAAAAATGTCATAAAAATAAATTATGATATTAAGAGCCAAAGATGGCCTAAAGGGTAGCACTGACTTGCCATCCCCTGTACCACAAGGCAGAGCAGCAGGACTGCTGTGACTGTTTTGTGAGGTGGGTATGCATAGCATAAAGCAGCTTCCTACATTCTTCAGGAAAGCCTTTTCCAGCCCTACCTGAGATACACAATGCATTGCTGCCCATTCTTAGTCGTGCTCTCTGTGCATCATATGGGTGCTGTGCCCATACAGTGCCACAGTCGGGAAGATTCCTCGAACTAAGCCTAGAATTTTTGGCAGGAACTCCCCCTCCGCCCCGCCCCTTATATAAATAGGCAGGCTCCTACCATTTTCTCAGTTCACTTTCAACCGCCATTTGCAGTGCATTGGGATCTCTAGTTTTCAATTCCTTAGTCTTCCCTCACAACTCTCAATTTACCTCACAATTTTTGCTTTACCTCAACTTTATCTTTCTCACCATCTATCACTCACTCCCTTGCCTTGTTTCCCAATCTCCTACATTCCCTGTTCTTCGAAGTCCCCCCGCCCCTTCTTATACCCTCACAAAAAACATTTGAAAAACCCTCCTATCATTATCTCCTTCTACTTCTCTTACTCTGGGATCTTTCTTCTCTTTTTCTTCCCCAATGTTGCTCAAACCGGCCTCTAGAGTGTGTGTCAAACGTGGCGTATAAATGTCATCTGCCAGTGGTCATTCACGGTGCCTGGCTGAGGAGCACTGAGCGGACAAATCTCCATGTGGCCGAGCCTCCACTAAGCAGACTCGCAAAAACAGGGCTGGCCGCCGAGGATGGCAATGTGGGAGGGTTGGCGCCATGTGAGGTGCCATTGGCGAGGGAGGCGAAGGCTCCTCAACCTCAAAAGAGGTCTCTAAAAAGCATCCTTCCCACCAGTCCCTCGGGCAAATCGAAGCCCTCTGTTCTGACCTCTAAACCATCCACTATCTCAGGTGCTGAAAAAGCCTAAGGAGAAAAAGCACCTTGAGCCCAAAGGTGCTAAACCAGCAAAGAAATCTTGCAAAACTAAACATACTAAATGGCCAGAATGGCATTTGCCAGCTTGTTCTGAGCACCACAGTGCTCCAACCCGACTGGCAGTTCCTCTCTGATTGGGTCTCAGCACTCCCCAACTCCAGCTCGATCTGACCATGGCATGCCACCCAAGCTACCAGGACCGGCTTTGGATGGAGAGATCTGTGACTCTGGCTCAATCTCCATTGCTGCATAGCTCCCCAGCATGATTGATGCAGACCCCACAGCACAATCCAGTCATGGAGCCAACCCACCTACACCTTGTCTGTTCCATGGCCCGTCCTCAAATCCATCTCCAGTTTTGCTGTGTCACTCCATTCGAGGCACCAAACCAACTGTGCAACCTTACGGGGGAAACTCGTACTAGTATCCTTTTCCAGAACACTATTTCCAAGTTGACCCATGAGAATGTCTGGCAGACCCTTGATATTAAGCCTGGCCTCCAGTTACACCACCTCGCACCACATGACATGAGTCTACACCAAGACCGCTCTACCATCCTTCCAACAGCCTGAGCAGAGTGCCCAGATGTCACCCTCTCCGTCAACTGGATCCAACTCCACTGATCCAATAGATTATGGGTCAGACTCTGCGGAACCCATCTCCACCTTTCTGGATAACATCATCCCCTCCCAAGCCCCTGGATCCCAGGGGACAGCCTTGGGCATTCTTTGGGTATCCAGGTACAACCAACCATGGATCAGATGGAAGAGAACTCTGTTCCGGTAGCAATACCATTCACCCCGACGTTGTCCAAGGCTATGAAAGAACCCTCTGAGATTCATGCAGGTCGCATACCAGTAACCACAGCTCTTCGAGTGGTCATCACAGAGATGGGTGCTACACCTGTGCAGTGACTTGTTCAGGAAGACTAGCTTAGCCTAGAACTTTCCGTGGGAGATCCCCTCCCCTCTATATAAAAGGTGGGCTCCCGCCATTTTGTCAGTACCACTTGAGACTGATGTTTGCAATCAGTATACCTAATCATAATTTGTGGGATATGTGTAATATTGCAATAAATATCAATAATGCAACAAAATAGCCATCATGTCTTCTGTATCTCTAATCACTGACACCAACGTGGGGCTGGTGGGTGGGTTGTGTGAATGACGAGCAAGCATCCCTCCATGGAGGTGAGAGGTGTTGGTGTTGGTACAGTAACATATAGACTGTTGCATACATAAAAGACAAGCAGTAGTGATGACCTCTCACCTATGCCCTGTCATATAGCACTCACTCATCAATATCTAGAGAAAGTGCATTGAGATAACAGTTTGCTAAGTTGCAATAGTTTGTTTTGCAAACACACTTGTCCATCAATGTATGAGTCCAACAGCATGTGTGTATCAGTGTTCAAGTGCGCTGGTGAAGAGTCACTGGGTGAAGGGATGTCAGTGGAAGATGGAAGTCAACATGGCTCTCCCAAAGAAGCAGTCTCTTCTAGCTCTAACGTCCAGTTTGTAATGTTGAACAAACGTCAGTTTGGACAACGTTGCTGCCCTACAGATGTCTTCAACTGGGATACCCACATGAAGGGCCACAGATGTTGAGACAGCTCTCACTGAATGAACCCATGGTTCATCATATAAGTCTAAGGAAGATGATTTGTAAGCCAGCTTAATGGTCTTTATGATCCAGTGTGCCAAGTGCTGAGCCGACTGTTTAGTGTTTCTTCAGTCTTTGACTATTTTGGCACTCTCGGTTTTGAGGTGCTTCCTTTTTCCCTTCTTAGGGACATACACATAGGGCAAACGACTGTCTCTAGTTGCACTGAGAAAATGGCAGGAGCCCGCCTATTTATATAACAGTGAGGGCGGGTGGGACTCCCACCAAAAATTCTAGGCTTAGGGGAATTTTCCCAGACATGGTGTGGCGCAGGCACAGCACCCATGTGTGCGAATGCACAGGTGACCGCTTGGAAAATGACATATACAGCAACCTGCCTTTACACAGTCCAGCAGCATGTGACGGGCAACTCCAACCAGCCCTAGTATAGTCAAGGGTGAGGGACAATGGGCATTACATCCAGCCGTATCTGGAGGGCCCTATGTTCCCCATACCTTCATTAAGGTATGGCTCTCGCCCAACATGAACACACAAAGCAATTTCATACGGACAGTCCCAAAACAGTGGGCCCTAGGCTAGGTCCCGGCCGCCCCTTGAGCTCAGCGGGAGAGGCCCTTCTCCGGGAACCCTCTGTGAAGGAAATTAGGAGGGTAGGTACTCGGAGGGGGGCTTTCTCTGCGGTGGCGCCCAATCTATGGAATGCGCTCCCCAGAGAGGTCCGCCTGGCACCGTCGTTATTTGTTTTTCGGCGCCAGGCGAAGACCTTTTTATTTAAGCGTCATTTTAATTGTTAACAATATTTGCTTATTTATCTGGCCAGGGTGACTTCTTTATAGTGTTAGTTATTTTATATTGTTAATTTTATATTGTTATTTTTGTATTTTATTGTATTTTATTTTGTGTTGTGAGCTGCCCCGAGGCTTCAGCAAGGGGCGGCATAGAAATGTTTTAATAAATAAATAATAAATAAAAAATAAAATGCCACCCCTTCTGTAAGTCCCTTTTCAACAATCATTTTCCACAGAACCTTTGGTTTATCTTCTTTATCCTCAGTTCCGGCTGTAACCAAACATGCATCCCTCCACAGGCCCTCAGAAATTCTGCCTTATACTTTTCCCGTTGCCTACTTAAATTGCAAGTTTGCTGTCAACAGATTTTTGCCTAAAAGTTAACAGATGAAGCTGATTGGTGGGAGATTCAAGATTGAGAAAAAGAAGTACTTCACATGTTGCATAGTTAAACTATGGCGCTCACTTCCACAGGACAGGGTGGTGGCCACCCATTGGGTCAATGTTAAAAAGGGGTGCTTCCGATGCTGAAAGCAGCATCTAGCCATCTGAACTCGCAGCCATTAACACCCTTCTCTCTGAACCTCCATGACTGCTCTTACCATTCTTACACATGTAGCCTCCTTTTGCCTCCAACCACACATTTTAGCCACATTTGAACTTCACTGGCAAAGCAAAGTCCCCATGCCTGACGTGTATCCTCACCTCTGCTGCGTCCCTCCAAGTGGCTGGTGCTTAGCTTCTGCTTCAGCTCTTGATTTACCCATTTATAATGGGCCAATTCCTTTTCCAGTGCTTGGATCCTTCCTTGGTATTGAACCAGGCTGCTTGCCTGTCCCTCTTCCATGTGCTCTGGGAGAAGGGAATAAATAGTCTGTTAAAACCTGGGAAACGATCCAAGCGAAGTACTAAGAGAGGCACTTGATTCACTGATGGGCCCAAAGGCCCTTTGTTACCCCGGCTCTGTTGGAGCAGAAGTTGAATATTCTGTTCGTGCTCTTTCTGCTGCAGAGTCAGCTGCCGGTCCATCTCTAAGCGCTGGCGCTCCAATGCAACTTCTAGCCAGAACACCAGCTGGAGCTGCTCCTCAAGCTGCAGTTCCAGTTCTGAGAAAGCGATGTGCTGCCTGTGCTGCTCCTCCCGCAGAGTCACGACCTGCAGAACCAAGATCTCAGACTTTTTCATGATGTCCCCACAATCAATGAATCATCGCTTTTCCATTCAGTTGTGAAAAGGGTAGCCCGGCCTTGTGACAGAGCCATGGGTAGCCTTATTCTCACAGATGGCCTTACACATTCAACTGGATTCCACCACAGCAGAATGGAGCTTATCTGGCTGAATGGTCTCCTCTGCAAGAATCAACACATCTGACTCACACGGAGAACTGGAACATTTAGGAAATGGGTTCCAGCCCAGCCTCCCCGATACTAGCCTCCTATGTGTGGGAAAACAGTGTAGTGGCCACTTCCCCAGCATCCTCCTGCTGAAATGGTACTCTCCAGATGCTAATCTAGATCACCACCTGCCATTGTAAGCACTGCACCCCAAACACTGAGGAAGCAGCACTGAGAAAAACTAATGCAGTGGTGATGCTAAGCAAACCCTGCACTTCCTTACAGCCTGTTCAGGTTACTTCCTACATGCTGTCATAATCACTGTGAACTTATTCGATGGTGCTGAACAATTACAACCAGAAGCCACACTTCGAAGGAAGGATTTCCACATCCAAAACTGCAGTGTTATCAGGGTTCCAGCTTATTAGAGGCATCCTGGGAAAACGGCAAAGCAGGGGAAAAGATCAGAACACACCAACAAGAACCAGACCCCCTCACTTGGGAACTTAGGTACCTGTTTTCCCCACTGATCTGTCTCCTGTGTTTTGCATCCTTGGGCTTCTCTGCTATGGTCATACTGCACCATGTCACAGTATTTCACTACAATGACCAGGGCTCCAATCCGGCACCTACCTTATCAAAGTATTTGCAGAGCAATGCACGGGTCTCAGAGGAAGAGAGGTAGCTGAGTTTGGCCATGAGATTCATCTCACACTGGGACAGGAGGCTAGCAGATGACCTCAGCACACGCTGTCGGCAAGTGATCGACTCATTTTTGTATTCGATGGCAGCATCTAGAGCTTCTATGGCCTCATCTAACTGGAAGAGGATCCGTTCCTCCTAATTGGGGATTAAGAAAGCAAGAAAACTGCTTGTTTTCCATATGTAACTACCTGTTTCTACCTGTGCTGGGCAAAGCGATGGCCAATCCTTCACTTGATCTCTTCTCATAACCTTGTGATGCAATTCAGTTTCCCATTTGCAGTGCAGAAACTGGCTGCAATTTCCCCCAAAGTCACCCATCAAGTTCCTGGCTTAGCATGAGCCTGCATTCAGTTCAGCATCAGTATCTGGAAAAGCCTGTCATCGGCACAACACCCCAGAGCCTCACACCCCCTACGAATTCTTCCAGATTTTAAGATTCCCCCTTCCACATTATTCAATGTCTTCTGCCCCACCAATTACCCTCTAACAAATTTGCTTCAGTGATCATCATGTATGGGTCCAAACTCTTTCAGGACTGCCACCTCCTGTATGAGCATCCCTACCTTCTTGCCCACTGCCTAGACAACTGACATCTCATGAGGAAACCTTGATAAACAATTCTATCATCTGTGAAGACTATACTGATAGGATCTTCCTGTTAGGGTAAAGGGCATTTCAGAGTTCCAGGACGAAGTCCTAAGTGCCAGCATCTCTGCTTTCTTTCCTGAGACTGACAAAAAACTTGTCAGCCTTCAGGAATTCATTGCACCTGAGTCTAAGACCACTGTTTTAAATTTTTAAAACTGGTTTGGGTAATTTCTTAATAGGAAGTAGTGTAAAAACTGAGGCCCCGTTTTAGTTTCTTCTGCACACTTCTAAAAATGGAAGTGTTCTAGACTCCTTTAAAGGTCGGACAGAATTGACACCCATTTTGTAGGATATGTGAAATTATATTGTCCCAAACTGTAATCTCAGAATCTATTACAGATAAATGTAGGTAGGCTAAACTAAACAACGAAAGCTCCTCGAACGCATTTCTGGCATTCTGTCCAAAATAAATGGGTGTAGACATGGGATAATCCTAACTTGTTTTCTTGCAAGTTAGGACTGATCCACATACGGTGCAGAATGAGGGAATGTGGTTATAAAGTTCCAAAGCAGCAGAATAGACTTCTATAGGTCTGGATGCCTTAGAAAAAAACCAACATAAATAGAAAGGTAGAAGAGCCAGAAGTTGCAAAATGGAAGTTACAACTGCTCAGTTAATGTCTAGCACACTAATTATGAGCACAGGGAAAAAAGCTTCTAATTAACCTCTGGAGACAGCAAGGTGCCCTGGCGTAGCTTGTTGTCTATCTCCAGCCTTTGTTTTAGCAACTGGTCCTTCTCTTGCCGCAAATTGCTAATTTCTTGCCGGATCTGCTGCTGATCATGCACACTGCTGGAGCAAAGCTGCCCATTCTTCTGCGTCAGTTCTTTCTCCAGGTACTCTAGACGGCTGGATACCTGCATGATGTCATCATTCAGAGCCTGAGCCGGTCAGAGAAGAAATAAACAGTCAGCACCCAATGGCAATCTGCTGGTTGTGCCTTCTGTCCTCATGAACCATCGCACACAGCTTTTTATTCCTTGGAGGAGAGAGATGTCAGCATGGACATACCTATTGAACAGAGGAGCAACTCTAAGGGGGAAAGGATGGCCACAGGCTGGCATGGAGCTAGACTGATGCTTCTCTGGAGTGAGAATAGTTAGCCAGGGGAAGGATCTCAATCCTCTGCTTTTGAGCAGGCAGACATGCTTCAGCAAAGAGGTCTTTGAGGTTTCCATCTTTCTTCTCCCCCAGAAGGAACAGAGGTGAGAGAAAGAGTTACAAAAGGAGCGCAGGCACGGATTCCTTGCTCAAGCCTTGCCTCATCAGCCAACCCATCACATCCTCCCTGTGCCAGCCGGCCAAAGGCTGTGCAGGAAAGACAGAGGGATGGAAGCTATGCACATCCACAAAGCAGCAGGACACAACTTCCCTCCTGGGACAGAGGCTCCCGTGCTGTTATTGCTCTGGAACACGGACAGAGGGACCTCCGGACTCTACTCCTATTTGGGATGCAAGAATGTCCAATGATTTCCTGCCCAGTCCCCATGTGGCAGAGGATTAAAAAAAAAAACCAGATAAAAGCAAATCATCTGGCTTTGCTAGCTCCAGTCCTTAATCTCTATCACCATGGAGGACGGTGGTGTTACTCACACTCCTGCCATCAGTCCATGGAGCGCAGGATTCTACATGCGCACTCTCTGGATACAGCACAGAGGACATGGCAAGGCAGGCAGCTGCTTCAGTTCCAGATCTAGCTCTGCGATCTCTCTTGCACAAGCAGCAGGGGAAGCTGAGCCACTTAACAGCCACAGCGCAACATCTCGTCTTACACCCAAAAAGGAACTGGCCATCTGGTGACTCTCCTTGCTCTCCCATGAGTAGCACAGCAAGAATCCGTTACGCAAAATAAGAGGTGTCATGCAGGAAAAGACCCCCCGATGCATGTTTGCTCATCTTCAGTACCGGGTTTTTCCTGGCAAAGAATGTGTCTGCCCAGTTCACTTAGTGAAGGCTGCACAGGACACCCGGTGTTCACCTACCTCTAAGCAGCACGCATTGCCCGGGTTCACACATCATGGCAAGAAAACGTGCTTGGCCTGGGTTCCACAGTGTGCCATTTCGTGCACACACGTGCCTGGCAGATGAACAGGCACATCACTGGGACTCTCCCCCTTCCGAGTCCTCCAGGTAGCATGGTCAGGAGGCACCACGGAGAGGAATGCGGCTCCTCCCTCTGGCGGCAACAATCGCCAGCTGCGTTCTCTTCGCTATGCCTGCCATGCAGTCCCTGTGGCGGAAACAGGGCTTGCACCCTGAAGCGCTGCAGAGGGGATGAGGCAGTTGTGCAGGCCCCCTTGCCTCTGCTCCAGAGAGGAGCCTAGGAGCAGGACAGGGAGCGAGAGACCCGGTTTAAGCTCAGGCAAAGTGGGGAGGGTTTTGTTTGAACAGGATTTCATTAATAAATGGGAACACCAAATTTTGCACCCAGTGTTTTGGTTCACAATGCGCCAAACCTATGTCATTTAGTCATAAGTAAGTCCCCCTGAACTCAATGGAACTTAATCCCATACTAAATGTAGTGGAGAGATTGAAACCTTTAAATTGAGTATAAAATATTACTTCTTCTTGCATCTTCCACACAAATGGATTTGTTGCTGTAACATATACTGCCTTTATTCTGTTAACATATGCAATGGAGGAAAATTGAGAATGATACATTTTGGAAATAAAAGCTAAGTGACTAGTCCTGTAAGGGCAAGCCCACCTGGCTAGAGCGGAGTCTCTTATTTTCAAGGCCATTCTTCTCCTGAAGGAGAGCTTCCTTTTTTGCTACAATCGCCTCCCGTTTCATCAGCTCATCTTCCAGCTCACCCAAGGCACGGCGCTGCTCAAGAACCTGATCCATCTCAAGATCCAGCCACTTCTTCCGCTCTTCAATTTTCTGATGCAAAGGCAAAAGAGAGGAGTTTATCACAGTGCCCTAAGATGATGGGGAAACATTGGTTTGCCCTGTCAACCAACCCTCTCCTTTGCCACTGTTGCTCTTAGGAATTGACAGATGAGATAAATCCAGCATCCCTAACATGAAAGCTTGTTCTCCCCAGTAGATAATCCAGGAACTGGTTATTTCTTCCACTTGCTGTAGAAGCAAGGCTATGTCAGTGACTCTGTGCTTGGGGCTGCTCAGCACAGAGAACACTCCTTTGGCGACCTTCAGGACACAGACAGAACAGAATGATGAACAGCGCAGAACCCCTGACTGAGGCAAGCAGAACCGCTTTTGGCCCAGGCCCAAATTCAGTACGGAGACGTGTGCAGGGGCTGCACCACAGTGGTGAACAGGAACAGGCACGAAGGGCAAAGGTAAAAATAGGAACATAGTTAGGGCAAAGCTCCTTTGGCCAGTAGCTAAGTCTTAGAAGAAACTTTTCAAGCCTTCGGAATGGGGAAAAGGCTGCACAATGGCCAGCAAGCAAGCAGCAGTCCAGGAGAGGGGCATGGCCTTCTGGGGAATGAGGGGGCTGGGCCTGCAGTTCTGCATATCTGTCCTAAACCAACGAACTATTCACTTGTGTAATAGTAAAAGCTGAAGTATATTAGCCCCACTCCTCAAGAGCCATAAACTAACCAGACCAGAACGTCATTCCTAGGACTTGAACTACAGCCTCTTGAAGTCTGCAGCACCCGATTCTGCTGCAGCAATGAGTCTGGATGATCTCCACAGCTGGAAAAGGACTACTTGCAGTAAGACCTATGTCACTTTTCCTTCAGTGATGGAGATTAGGAAGCCATGGGCTGTAAAAAAGCAGTATGGCCATCCTAGCCAGGGTACTTCGCTGTGAAATGTTCGGAGAACTACTCCTTCCAGCTCTCCTCTCACAAAAGCAGCACCAAAGACACCCAAGTTTCTAGGGCTAAAGGCGAAGGGGGCACCCCAGTGATTGCCCTGCAAAGCTTCGTATGGGAGAAAGCTATCAGTACTGCAGGCATGGGTAACAGCGATGGCAAAACAAAGTTGTCTCTCTCAAGCTAGAGCGCCCATTCTTTCTCCATCCACCGAAATGCCTTCAGGATTTTGTTCCATGGTGGAAAGCCCGTAGACTGAGGGCGCACTTGTTGGCACAATCCTAGCACAGGCCCCCCGCTGCCTGCCCCTTCAGCTTATCGCTCCACTTGCCACGTCCACACATGCTGGCAAGGTGGTGCACATGCTCGAGGAGCAACAGAGGCACTGATTCACCGAGCTGTGGGGCTTTATGGTATATAGTTAAGGAATCATCTGAGCACCATTCCCACCACGTTTATTCCACTTTCAAAAACAAGGAAGCCTGAGGATATTTCCATGTGACTTTACAGAAAATGCCCCTTCCAGCATCCTGTTACACCTAAGGTACCGTCACTGGGTGGTCAAGGAGGCACTGCTCTTTACCTGTTGTTGCTCTAGACTGATCATGGAATCGTTGCTGCCACTCCTGCGCTTCCTCTGGAAAGCTGCTATCTCTTCGGTCTTGATACGTAGAATCTTCTGGTGCTGCTCATGCTTTAGTTCCAGCTCCTGAGGAGAGAAAAGAAAAGGCTGTTTGTCTGGAAGCCAGCTACTCATCACATGAATTGAACTACACTGTCCCTAGCTAGGAAAGCATTCCACACACCCTTCGGATCTGCAAGATGTGCTGGGAAAGTGTTAATTAACCTGGCTATATCCTTCCTGCGATGTGGAACCCAGAACTGAACTCAATACTCCAGCTGCGGGTGCACCAGAGTCATATAGAGTGGTAGTAATACCTCTCTTGATTTAGAAGCCACACTTCTGGCTATGCATCCAAGGGTGGCGTTCGCCCTCTTGACCACTGCATCACACTGCTGACTCATGTTTAGCCTGCAGTCAACCAGTACCCCGAGGTCCCTTTCACAAGTGTTGCTCTCCAGCCACTTGTCACCTAACCTGCACTTATGACACCCATTTCTATGTCTGAAGTTCAAGACCACATTGAACGCCATCCTGTTGTCCCTGGCCCACTTCCATAGTCTGTCCAGATCCTTCTGGATCTGCGGTACTTGCTCCTCAATTATGGCCACTGTTCCTGTTTTAGTAGCATCTGCAAATTTGATCAGCAGACTGGTCACCTCTTCTTCCACGGCACTGATGAAAAGACTGAACAGGATCAGTCCCAGGACAGAGCCCTGAGGGATGCCACTTGTCACTGGCCGGCATCCCAATGATTCCCCACTAATGGTTACCCTCTGCTTTCGGTCAGTCAACCATGCCCTAATCCATTGGACAGTGAACTGGTCTATCCACAAACTCCCCAATTTCTCCACCAGGATATCATGTGGCACTTTGTCAAAGGCCTTGCTGAAATCCAGGTAAACCGCATCCACTGTGTCCCCTCCGTCTAGCCACCTTGAAACCTCGTCAGAGCATTCCACAAGGTTTGTCTGGCAGGAACAAGGTTTGTCTGTGATACCTTGACCCGATGTTGCCCTTTGTGCATCTCAGTTTCTAGACGCCGCTTCTGTTCCACCTCCTCTCGCAGACGCCTCTGAAGCTGCCCCTGCTGCTGCCGCATCAGCTGCACATTCCTCTCCAAGTCCTGCAGGCGCTTTGCATTTTGAGCTGAGAGAGATACTAGCCGCTCCGTCGCTTGCTTTTTCTCTTGCAGAATCTGTTCCAACATAAGCCATAGGATGGCAGTGAGGGCCCCAAAAGGAGAGGGGTCTTTTTGCTACATTCTGGCCACCCTTCCAGACCCAGGATTTCTCCAGCAACCAGTTCTGGACAGCCCTTCTGAGGGCTCACCTTTGCCTTGCTCTGTGCTGCTTCTACTTTGCTACGGTATTCCTGGAGCTTCCGCTTTTCTGCAGGATCCTGAGGCTGCTTGCCCTCCAGCTCCTGCAGCTGCTTCTGGCCATCACTTAACTCCACTCGCACTTGTTCTGCCTCCTGCTCCAAGTTGTGGATTTTCTGGCAATACTGCTTGTTCATGGTCTGCGCATGTTTGCCTGAAACATACAGATATCCAGTTCCATGCAGAAGGCTGGAGTGGTCACTGCAATGTTGTTTGCAACAGGCAAGAGGTAAAAAAAAAAAAAAAGTCCCAGGGATCAAGAGCAAAAACACAGGTGAAAAGGCCTGTTCTGATTAGACAGGCTTGTCCTTTTCTGAGACTTGTTCAGGAGCAGGGAAAAGAAAGCTCCTTCACAGACAACTAGCACTGTCGCAGCTTACTGCTGCAATGTTGCACAAATAATAACAACCGAGGGTCACACTAGAGCAACCTTTCCCAATCTGATGGCCCAGTGCATTGCATTACAACTTCCACAATCTCCTTGACAGCACAGCTGGCTTGGGGATTAGAAAGTTGTACCTGGATGTATCCGAAGGGCACCAAGTTTGGAAAGACCACCCTGAAGGCACAGTTAGAACTCCCAAATTCCTCAGCATTGTGGTACTCAGCCATGCTCCTCCCTCCCTCCCTCCCTCCCTCCCTTCCCTCCCTCCCTCAAGACTCATATACCGTTCCATCACTGATGTCTCGGGACAGTTTACAACACCACCAATAAAATAAGATAGAGAGATAAAAGTAGCACAGGATCCAGTAATAAATATAAAAACCACAACTTAAGACAATTAACAATTCAAGCATAAAGTCCCATGCCTGTCTTGACAAGTTCCACTATCAGGTCCTCCTTCATGCGGATGTTGATTGCCAATTCACGGATTTTCTGGTGGGCTTGAATTAGTCGCCACTCCGAAGTCTTCCCTGGAAAGCTTTCTCCCAGCTCTTGCCTCCTACAGTCTGCCGTGAGACAACACGTGAATTCAGAAATGCCCTGGCTTGGCTCCAGTCCTCAAAGGGGAAGGAACAGAAGGCATCAAGGCAGGAAGCATTGACTCCTAGTACAGCTTCAGCCACCTGGACATGCACCCCATGATGGCTCCTGTTTGAAACAGAGCTGTATGCCTACCAATCCATAATGTAATATTCCAGCTTGACTATCTGCCAAGACATCCTCTGGAGAAGGGACTGTGAAATGCTGGACAAAGTATATTACTATCTGGTTCTTCTGTATTATTATTATTATTATTATTATTATTATTATTATTATTATTATTAGAACATTTCTATGCCGCCCCTTGCCGAAGCCTCGGGGCGGCTTACAACACAATAAAATATTGTACTGTATGGGGGTGTTGGTCCCTATTCCCCTCCACCCCAGTCCAAATAGCTATCTAAGTCCTTGGAGCTCACACGGGTATGTGTGGGAGGGCAGCCAAAGGAAAGGAGACTGCCGATGCAACCTTTTCCCCACATTCACACAATGATCTGTCAGCCAATCACTGAAGAATGGCTCCGGGAGCAATGGGGCATGAAGATACCTGTGCAGTCTTTTGCTTTAGGCACACCAATTCCTTGCGCTTTTTCCAGCTATGTTTAGTGAAACTCCCTTTTCCCATCACCACCACAACCACCGCCACTGCCACTGCCATTTGGGATGCATTCAGAGGGTTCTTTAGTATCTCTGAATGCTGTGAGGGGCCCCAAATCTATCTGAAAATATTTCTAGAAACTTGTCCACTCCAATGCCCCAGTAAGAAACAGCCAAATCTGGTCCTACCTTTCGATGGCTCTGTAGTCTCCCCCTGGACCACTGCAGGGTTTCTCTTGCTCCATCTTCTGTCCCTCTTCCTTGAAACCTCTTCTTTGCTCCAACTAAAGATTCCATTTCTGGAAGGGTACCAAATTGTGCACTTTAAAAGGGGGTCAGCCATCAACAGAGCAGAAGAGACGCTGAGCCGATTTATGAATGATTCCTGGGTACCAGCTAAACAGGAGCAAGAGAAGCTCCTCATGGATTCCTGGTCAAGATATCCAGACAGCTTATGGAAGCAAAGTGGCAAACGAAAGCTGGAGCCAGCGAGCGTTCAGCCAAAGGCAAGTCTGGCAGGGCATCCACCCAGTTTCCCTTCATGGTGTTCAGCTCATTGCTCTTATATTAAAACTGAGTTACTGCACAACAGACCTAGAAGCTTCTTTTCAATTGTCCTCTCTGTGTCAGGGTTGAGATTACATTTCCTTCTCAGTGCTGCCCTGTTCTAGGCTGGCAGCATCTTTTGCCAGCTGGGCACCTGCTCAGTGCTGAGGCACAAATCTTGAGGACAGCCAGTGTGATGTAGCGGTTAACAGCGTGGGACTGGGACTCAGGTGATCTGGGTTCTGGGCTCTGCTCAGCTATGGATGGAGCCAACTGGGTGACTTTGGGCCAGTCACAGACTCTCAGCCCAGCCTACTGCACAGGGTTCATGTTGTGAGAATAAGAGGAGAGCAGCAGGAGGAGAATGATGTAAGCCACTCTGAGTTCTTAAAAAAAGAAAGAAAAAGGTAGGATATAAATCAAACAAATAAAATTGCCTGAAAACAAGCCAGTGATCTTGTTTCAGATATTCAGTTTCCAGGCACGACTAGGTGCAAAATCTGTTAATCAAAAGGGATTTGTGGGTTAGGCATCTGCTCGGAGATGCACAATACTGAACATACATGATGATGTCTTATACTAGATCAGACTATTCGTGCATCTGGAGAGGAACGGTGTCTCCTTTGACTTGGACTATTTCCCCAAGATCTCAGGATAAAGACTTTCCAGGTCTCACAAAGAACCTTTGAACTGGAGATCAGAAAACAGAACCAGTGACATTCTTCATGTAAGGAGGTGATCTTTCATACTTACATCAGTCTCGCTCTTGTGGAGATAAGATAGAGAACATGCGGAGGCGACTGATGTAAGCGGCTTTGAGTTCTTTACAAAAGAAAAAAGGTGGGAAAGGCATCTAACAGAGGAACAAATCTTTCAACTCACCTGCGCTGGTGCAGGGACCGCGCTTGCCCATGCTCACACTGTCCCTCCTCGTTCTCCAAGGACAACTGTGCTGACCACTCTGAGACCTTGCCAAGCTCCAGTGCCTGTGCAGTATCATTAGCCTCCAGGGTGGAACCTTGATGGCTCCCCAACAGGCCCTTCCTGTGGCGAGCTGTGTCACTGCATGGCTGTTTGGGGTGCAAAAAAGAAATGCTAAGCGTCAAAGACCACATGAAACCAAAGCTTTCTCTGAGCCTTGACATGACTCCTCCTCTGAAGGGGTACTGGGGTCCCTTAGGTCTGGCTTCTCCCAAGAACACAGTTCTCTTCCAAGCCTGGCAAAGTAACCAAGTCACCCGGGAGAGACTTAGTTCTCTATCCTCTCCCTGCCACTATTTTACTGCAAAACATAAGAGCATACTTGTAAACATGCTAAATATTTTAATTTATCATACCCATGTCGCATTTTAACATGAACTGCCTAGAGATTTTATAATTAAGTGTTCCAATATAGAAATAACTCATAAAAGTTAGCCCAAGAAACCTATGATCTCCAAACAGCTTCTCAATTATTCCTAGGGAAGGGGCATTAGGATGTTATCCCTATGTTTTCATTGGATGGAAGCTATCATGGGTTGCTCTTCTCTGCTGATCCAAAGGACATGCCTAGGTTAAAAGGATTTGCTTCTTCTTTTCCTGTGGTGGGAATGTGACACAGTCCAGAGAGGAAAAAGAATACAATTTTAAACAATTTTAAAAATGCCCCACCTGAATCAGAAATTACCTCAAGTAAACACCACATAGACTGAGTTTTTAAAAAATCCAAGTAAAATAAGAGGGACAAAGTTTGTAAGATTTGCAAGTAAGTGAAGTAATAGCATCTAACATGCCACTATATCACTCCTGTTCAGAGTTCAAAATCATCTAACTGCACCACTGCCCCTGCACTAAGCAGATGCAAAGTAAGCGTCAAGCCAACGGACTGAAACTTCTCACCATTTCAATTAAGACCTCCAGGAAACCCAGCTTGCCATGTAAAACTCTTCGGTTGAATTTACTTTAAAAAAACAGGGGTCAGGGTGAAGGGAAGGACAGGAGGTCAACTCTGGAAAACAGACAGTTCTCGAGAGGATGCAAAGCTGGGTTTATATTGATACAGGAGACCACAGGATAACGCACAAACCTTGCTGTGGTTATTATGGGCAAGCCTGAGCCAATGCAGAGACCGTGCTGTATCCACAGGGGCTGTGTGGGGCCTTTGGCCAAGCTGCACCAGGAAGACATTTTGCAGCAGTTCTGGAACACCCCCACAGGGCACCTCTCTTTGCAGGCACTTGTGCAATTCATAGATAATATCTTGCTGCTCCTGCAGCTTGGCACTCTGGGGGGAAAAAGATGTGATAGTTCACGTCCCACATGTCCAGGAGCTTTCATTGCTACCAACCCCACTGATAATTTAAGTTAGAGAATGACAGGAAATCCCCGGTGTTATAAGTTAGAGAAAAATCCCAATGAGCTTTAATAAGCTCTATTAAGGGCTCACGTTCAAAAGGTGGACAATGTCACTTCCAGATGCAGCAGAGGCAAGAACAAAAGAAGGAAAGGAAAAGAGAGGCAAAAAGGATGGATGCTTTCCGCACTGGAAGACCATAAGGAGTCTGCCAACAAGCCTGGAGAATACCTGTAATTTGTACTGCTCCATTGCGTCTTCAAGGGCGGCCAGAAAATCCCGATTCTCCTCCTCTAAACGCCCCACTTGCCTCTCCAGCCTTGCCACATGCACTTCCCGGGTGGATTCACACACTTTTGTGCTTTCCTCCTGCCCCTAACAAAGAAAAGGGTAAGAGGGTACTTTTCCCTGTGGTGTTTGGAAAGCTCTTTCTGCCTTCTTCATGGAGGGGCAGATTAGTCCATCTGACCACAGCCATGGCACTGGAGACAGTAGTAGCAGAGGGGTCCCACACCTCGCCTCAGCCCCCAGGAGAAAAATGATGGTTCTGCGTCACTGCAAACAGCCAGGGCTGAAACCCAGCCCTGACTAGCAACTGTCCAGGAAATCATGCCAGGAGCATATTGAAACACGTTCGATATTGTGTTTAACTAAGTTCAAAGCTTACCAGGAATTTATTTGTGCTTAGAATATTCTTAAAAATAGCAGTTCAACAAATGCCTCCCTTACAAAGTATACATTTTAAAGGAAAATGGAAAGTACTGAAGAACCAAAAAGCAGCATGTTAATGTCTATTATTTCTTTAAGAATGTATAATCTGTGTCTTCATCCCAAAAAGGCTATCAGGGAGGTATGCATAAAAATCAGATATTAAATGCCAGAAAAAGAGATACCTCCTATACTTGCCTGAACAGAAAATTAATTACAACTTTGTAATTCTCTCACTTGTGTGATACCTTATTACTTTATGAAGTATCACATGCTTAAGGAAAATATCTATAGAAATTAACCTATGTTTGACATGGTCCATGCCTGAAGTGTTCCACGGCCATTTTGAACATTAAATCTCCAACTGGGCCAACTAAAGGTTGTTATGTGACTTCTAAACCCAGATATTTTATGTTAATCTTAACCATGGGTTGAGGAACCCAGAGTTAACCCAACTAACTGTTCACCTAACTACTAATTGCACGAAAAGCCCCAGATTATGGAACTGTCTGAAACCTCCAGGATAGGGCTAGGTCTTTGGTGCATCCAGGATCCTTGCGTCTCGCACCCGTTCCTCATACCTGAGGCCTGGTCCACTTGGAACGTGATGCTTTGTGGTTCTGATCTTCTGGCAAAGTGCTCTCGATCCCACTGTCTAAGCCAGAAGCCGAACTAAGCTTGCTCCTCTCACTTTCCACAGTACGAAGCCACTCTTTCACCCGCAGGATCTGATCCGCTGTCAGATTGCTTTCGCCTTGCAACTCCATCAACAGCTGGTATGCAGCATCTGTGCACATCCTGTAGTGGCTGCACTCGGCATGCAAGCGGGCCCAGTCCTGCAAGCGCTGCTTGACTGGCGCTTCTGATCGGTTGATGATACGGGTCTCTGAGCGGTGCCGCTGCTCTAGGAGCCTCTGCAGCCTCTTTATCTGCACCTGCAGCTCCTCCACAGGCTCCATCTCCTTGCGGCAGTTCACCGTGGCCCTGTTCTTGATGTTCTGAGCACGGCTGGCATAATTCAGGGTAGTCAAGCTTTCATCAAAGTCAGAGGATGAAGGGCTGATGCAGGCAATCATTGCTGTCTTGGCATTCCCACCCAGAGAGTCTTTCAGGATCCTGTTGAGTACACAGCTGCCAAAATCAGGACATGATCTCCCTAGCAGTGGCGCAGTCAAGTGGACAACAAAGTTAGTAACATGGGAGTGCTATTGCAAAAACCAACAAATTCCAAACAGGGTTTCCACCCTTTTGTCTATAAAACACGATTATTTGGGGGTGCAGGAAGGGTTCAAGTTCAAATTCTTTATTACAGTCACAAACCAGCATAAGAAAAAAAAGCAGAAAAAGCAGCTAGTACTTCTTCAAGGACTCCCATATATTGCAAACAAAAATGTTCAACACTGCTGAAAACAAGTTCACTCCTTATGCCATTCCTTAATCCTCCCACTCGCTTTCACTCCCATTTTTAGTATCACTGCTAACATGTCTACTGTTTAGTTTCTCCCTGGATGAAGAGCTGAATGGGTTCGGAATGGTCTAGCTATTTCATCACCACTTCAGATTCACAGAAGCATAGCAAGTCAAAAGGGGCCTGCACTCAATCCCCAACATGTGGTAGCCCAATCTTTCCTTGAAGATCCTCACTGAAGGGGCCTCAACCCCTTCCCTTGGAATTCCACTCCATATCCGAGGGGTCCTAACCATCAGGAAGTACTTCCTGACATACAACCTGAAGCCAGGTTCCTTGAGCTTTGCCCCATTGGGATGCCTCCTGTCCTTCACTTCAGGGAAAAACAGATCATGGCCCTTCTCCACATGACGTCCCCTCACATACCTATAAGTCGCTAAAACATCCCCTTAGAGTCTCTTCTTCTCCAGGCTGAAAAGACCCACTTCCCTCAACCTCTCCTCATATGTCATCCCTCCCAACCCGGCTACCATTCTTGTGACCCTGCACTGAACCAATTCTAACCTAGCGATGTCTCTCCTATAATGTGGAGCCCAGAACTGGAGGCAGTACTCCAGTTTCCAACTCCACTCACTGCTATTTATAACCAGATCCATTAATCTACAGAAGGGACAGAAAATTTCTGCAGGTCCAGCTTTTCCTTCCTGGAACCCACCAGTTGCTGCTTCATTTTGCCATCAGCGGCAAATGGTATTTGCTGTGGCAAACATGGCAGCAAATGCTAGATTTTCACTTCCACTGGGTGGGAAAGGCTTTCTCAGAGAACCCGAAGAAGACACTTAGTTGCCCAGCAGAATCTTTGGCACTACTCAAAGCACATAACATTTTCTGACTGCCAAACAACAGCCTGCCTAAGCAGCTGCACTCAAAATAACAAACAACGAACGGTGAGTCCAGATCAGGCACAGAAAGCGAGCAGGCCCACATGACCAGGCAGCACAGTCACAGCATGAACAAAATCCTCCAGGAAGGCACGTAGGAGTGTACACTAATGCGGAGAAAAAGAATCACGTACCTGGTAATTTTGGAATCTCGGTACGGAATGTGACTGCCTTTCCGGCGGGGGTCTCCCAAAGCGCTGATGACGTTACCCAGGGCCAGCAGGCCACTGTTGATCAGGATGCTCTCCTTCAGCCTCTCGCCCGTGTTCCCAGTCTTCACCACCCGCTCAGAGCCCGCCAGGTCCACGAAGTGAAATTTGGAAGCAAGGACTTGGCCAGCAGCTGGAATCGAGACCTTTTCTTGATGGGCAGAGCACGAAAGGCGCCCGACCCTGCGCCGCTGCTCCATTGTCACAGTGAAGATGGAGTGTGAGCGACTCGACTTCCGGTTGATGTGGGTAGACCCCGTGTGCTTAGCCATGTTGCCCATTTCCAGCAGACTGAGAACCTCATCCAAGCCCTCCACTTCTGTCTCCTTCACCCCATGCAGCACTGTAGCAAAAGAGGAATAGCAAAGCAGCCAAGTAGAGCCTGTACCAAGACTGGGCGCTGCAAAATAATCTAAGTAATTGGGCTCACTTCCTCTCTCTGCCATTGCATTGCCACTGGAAAATCACATGCTTCCATGTAATTTTTATCTAGGAAAGGGGTGCAGACTCTTACGCGAGGCAAACTGCTCCCACCAGGCCCTCTGTGCCCAGATGATACCAGTGGGTGTGGGCATGCCCACCGACGTGCCCTGGCATGGTTTGCCTTTTTCGGTGCAGAGTGAGGAGAAAGAGGCTCAGCTGTTGCTTGGCACTCAAGCAGCCACCCGAAGCCACTCAGGAGAACACCGGCTGAGCCTCCCATTACTTGCATCCCCTCCAGTAACAGCCAGGATTTCTCCAGAGGAATTCCTCTATGGTCCTCTGGATGAACCCAAAGATTCTCTGCTGGCTGATCGGGAACATCTGCAGACTGGTTTAGGCCTGCGGGCTGCTGGTTCACTACTAGAGCGGCTATTTGCCTACTTCAGGGAATTACGGTAAATAAACAAATATAGCAGCCTACCTCAAGGTGCAGTTGTAATGCCATATGTTAATACAGCTGCAAAGGAAAGGTGCTACAGGAGGAGAACTATGCCTCCATTGGTGGCATTCTACGTTCCTAAGCAGACACCTGCAAGACGACTGCACTCTGCTTCTCAGCAGACTAACAGCTCAATCACAGGCACCAGAACTCTAAAGTAAGTGGCCATTATTTTCTTCCACTGTATTTAAGCATCAAGCTCCACCATTTATGCTGAGTTATCAACTTTCTTCTGGTTCCTGCTCACAAACTTCCACATTTACCTCTCCAGCAGTATTCTGAGCAGGCAACACTTAGAGAAGGTGGGGAGTGAGCAACCCAGTCAAGCCTTGCTACCAGCCACAAGATCTGCGAGAAACCCACTTGCTGAGTTTGCAGACTCCCAACCCCTATTCGTAAAGCAAAGACTACTGGCTAAAGTACGAAATTAAGCTGAAGCCTATACTCAGTCTGAAGAAAATTGCCATGTCCAATGATTTTACAAAATTGACCCCACAAATCATGTGGTCAGTTTAAGCACCCAGAAATGTTCTACTCTGTATCTACTTACTTGAGTGGTCATTGCAATAATGGTCACATTTGGATTTAACATTAAGTCCTAACTGCTGAGGATTCTATCCTATCATTCAGGACCAGCCCACTAATGCTCTTCCAGCAGCAAGAGCAGTTGAACTCAACTAGAAATTAAGGAGGTAAAGATTTCCTGTTATATTCAAACCTTGGCACCTCCCACAAGACAGATTCTGAAGCCAGGATTTGAAACTGGCTTCTTGTTACTGGTTTGTTAGGGGAGTGACAAGCCAGAACCCACTATGGGAAGCTTTTACTTCCTAGTTAGTTTCTCGTTAGTTCAACCACTTCTAGTGGTGGCAGAAGCCAAATAGCCAGAATCCTCAGAAATTCTGCCTAAATGTTATACTCAGACACAGCCACAGAACCATGCATTAAACTGCCTTGGTGCTATGGAGATAGATGCTACATCTGCTCCCAGGCACCACCTAGGGAAGGAGAGACAGACAAGGGAAACCAAACTGTCATCTGCTTGATTTGCAATGCCCCCTCAGACATCATGTAGCCATGACAGAGAAAGGGGGCAGCACCCACATCCTCAACAAGCAGCTGGGAATTTAAAGCTGCTTAGACTACCTTAGACTGCTCTTTAGAAGGCCAGATACTGAAGATGAAACTCAAATACTTTGGCCACCTAATGAGAAGGAAGGACTTATTGGAAAAGACTCTGATGCTGGGAATGACTGAAGGCAAAAGAAGAAGGGGACGGCAGAGGATGAGGTGGCTGGATGGAGACACTGAGGCAGTGGGTGTGGGCCTGGGTGGACTCTGAGGGATGGTGGAGGACAGGAAGGCCTGGAGGAATGTTGTCCATGGGGTCGTGATGGGTCGGACACGACTTCGCAGCTAGCAACAACAAGACGACTACCCAAGGGTTGCAATGTCCAGGAGAGTGAGAAAAGGGCAGGTTGCTGGAATTTACCAATGTTTCCCTTGTCATCTTCCCGGATCTGAATGTCCTTGCTAGCTGTCTCCACCTGCAGCAGGTCCCGGAACTCTTCTTTATACACTTCCAGATAAGAGACCCGGACCATGTAGTCAAGTAGGTCATTCTCATCCATAAGCTTGAAGGCTTCAGCCATGGCTCGCGGGATTATGCCCTGCTCATCCTCACTGATGGAAGCTGTAGGAAAGGAGCACAATCACTAAATGCAATCCATGCAGGGAAGAGTTTGCTTCACAAGGGAGAAAAGCTGTGATACCGGAAGAGCTCTGTGCATGTGTGTGCATGAGCATTACAGAACTGACCCAAACACAGATTTGTTGAAAGACAGACCACATAAATATTCCACATGAATTCAGCAACCCACCAGTTTCATCTATACTCTACAGCAGCCTTGCAAAGAACTACACAAAATCTTTTAGCCTACATGTTTTACTAGCTGACTTGCCAACGTACCTCCAAGTTAGCAGTAGTGACACAGAAAAGGTTTGAAAGAAATGAAGGTAATCTAATACTTACTCAACTGCCCAGAAATAACTATTTCTTACCACAAACCTTTTACAAGCCTGATAGATCCCTCAGACACACCCTGAAAAACATTTTAAATGGCTTCTAGGTACTAGAAGGAGAACTTCTCTTTCATTTCATTATGTTCCAATGACATTTACAAGTAAGAATTATAGCCCAGGAATTCTCCTTGGGAAAAAAGAACCCAAGAGCTATTTTATGATCTACAGGCCTGGGAGCATGAACTTCCATTTGATGCATGACTCTGCCAAGCAGCACTCATGTTGATGGTGCTACAATCATCCCCATTTTTCAGATGCCCTGGCTTTTCTTCAAACATGCAGACCACAGTGAAGTGGGGTAGAGAAGGAGAGAGAATTCTGAGCATGTTATTAATGCAAGCAGTATATGGGACTCACAGACACTTGCTTCCCCAATGGTGTAGGTCTTGCCTGAGCCTGTCTGGCCATATGCAAACACAGTAACATTGAAGCCCTGAAAGAAGGCCTCCACCAGCGGCTGCACACAAGCAGCATACACAGACTCCTGGTCTGCGGATTCCGTGAATACAGTGTCAAACTGGAAATGACGGTTGTGTCCCAAGGTGACCTCCTTCTTGTCTGGGTCGCTCCGCAGGCATGTCTGGTACCCGTGTAGTCGCTCCTTGGGCAGCAAGGGGCGAATGCGCACTGCAACCTTGATAGGAGTCTCCTCTATGGGCAGCTGGGATTTGGCTTTCAGGCCCATGGTAAGCAATAGCCTGAAGAGTCAGGACAGCCGTGAAAGGGGAAGGGGCATGGTTTCTCTGCTCGGCAGACTGTGAGAGGAGAAAAAGCTGAGTTAGAGCAGAGTTAGAGAAAAAAACACTGTCTCAAAAGGAAAAGAAAAAGGGCAAGCAAAAACACTGTCTCAAAAGGAAAAGAAAAAGGGCAAGCAGACATTAAACGACATTAAATAAATAAATGACATTGTTTATTCATTGACAAGATTTCTAGGCTCCCTTTTGGTCAAAGCTTCCAAGGCTATTGGGCAGCATAAAAATGTAACAAAGGCAACTAACAATACAAATACAATACATTAGGAATGAATGAGGAATGCATGCATCCTGTATCCAGTCATGTGAGATGGAATTTTTTCCAGAGCTTCTTCTGTGGAAAAATATTCACTCCATAAGTCTGTTAGTAATAATGGGTACCAATTGCAAATACAAAGCAACGCAGGCAATTTCAAAGATGTAATTAATGTTTTTTGGGTGCCATAAACTATTATTGGGTTTTGCTTTGGTTTTTAGTTTTGCTTACTCAATCAAAGAACCATAGAATAGTAGAGTTGGAAGGGGCCATGAAGGCCATTGTGTCCAACCCCCAGCTGTTGCAGGACACCATGTTACACCATCCCACTCAGGTGGCTGTCCAGTTTCTTTCTGAATGTCTCTAGTGTGGGAGAGCCCAGCACCTCTCTAGGCAGCTGGTTCCACTGTCGTATTGCTCTGACAGTGAGGAAGCTCTTCCTGATGTCCAGCCAGAATCTGGGTTGTTGCAACTTGAACTGATTATTCCGTGTCCTACACTCTGGCATCAGCAAGAAGAGATCTTGACCTTCCTCTTTGTGACAGCCTTTGAGGTACTTGTAGAGGAATATCATGTCCCCCTCTCAGTCAGAAAAAGTTTTGCCTGGTTAAACAAAAGCATCCTGTTAACCTGGAAATATTTATTTACATGACATTTTTCTGTAGTGCTATAGCCAAAGCATTCTGGGCAGTTGACAAAACAAACATACAGTAACATAGCAAAAAATAAACACCTTAAGTTTAAAACAGATATTAAAACCAGGGCAAGAGCCAGCAGTACCGCAAAGATCTTTTTTTCCCTTAAAAAAAAAAAGAATGAAAAAAGAATGAAAACCTACACTAACACCATTTTTAAACCTGAAGGACTAAGGTGCAGGGGTCAAGGGTGGGGGGTAATTAATAAAGGAAATACAGTAAGACAGCATCCACCCCACCACCAACAAACTTAGTAGTTGGAAAATGTTCTCTCTTTATGTAAAGCAGCTTTTCTAAATCTGGATTCCCCCCCCCCCCCGGTCTTCTGTGCACCTTTAAAAGCAAGTTTCTTGGGGGGCAGGGTGCTCCCCCTTTCCCCCACCTTTGCCAAGATAAATTATAGCCCAGCAGAACTGAAGGAAGCTAGGTTGGGAATGGAGGGCTTATGTCTTCAATTCCCACATAATCACTAGGTACAAAAAGAAAGATGAAGTAGTTGAAGGCTTGCTCCTGCTTTCATCCCTTCCCCACAGGTCCGGTCAAAAATCGGCAACCCCAACGACCCAGCCTTGAATTCTGGAAGCAGCCCCAGGAGAGGAGGAAGCAGACGCACTTTCGCCTTTGAAAGACATCTCTGGAGGCAAAGGAGGCGCACCTGGCAGGCGCCACTGCGGAGCATCTCACCGGAAAAAGTGGGACTGAGAGGGAGCCTCCGGGACTGGGCGAGTGAGGAGCCCCTCGCAGTGGGGCGGGCGCAAGAGAGGACGGAGGGTTCAGGGGAGACCCCAGCTTCCTTAATAGGCCCACCGCGCAGAAAGCCCCTTGCCGCTCCCGCCACCCCTTTGCCTGTGCGGCGGTCCAGAGCTGTGATGTCTCTCTCTTAATTTCCCGCAAACGACCTTCCTCCCTCCCCTTTCCTTCCATCCCCACCGCAAGGGGCTTCCTCGCTCTCCTGCCCAGTTCCCAGGTTTTGCAGAGGCTCCCCTAAAAAAAAAAAAAAAAAAAAAAACCCTCAGGCCCTCTGTATATGCACAGAGGCTCTTCTGTGGGGCAGCCTGGCGGGTCCCTACACATCCTTGCCCATGTGCTCCTCTCTCCCCGAACCCGTCCCATCTCATTTGCAAAAGGCTTCCCTGCTATTCTTCTCCCTCTGCAGCTCTCACAGGCGGCTGCCTGTGACCGAGAACCTGCGCCCTCTGTGTATGTTCAGAGGCACTTTCCAGGAGAAGGGGCCGGCGCAGCAACCCAGGCGCCTGGGGGTGGAGGTCCTTTCTCACCTCATCGGCGATTCCGTCCTCCTCCCTGGAGCCTTCAGGCGGCAATAACGAGCTTCCAGGCCGGCTGCTCGGGGCGGACCCGGCCAGGCCGGCGCTGGAAATGGCGTCAGGGGGCGGATCCCGCTTCCTCCGCCGCGGGAGGGCGAGGCGAGGCGAGGCGGAGGCGGAGGCGAGGCTGCCGGGGAGGGCGAGCCGCGGTGCGGGGCTGCCCGGGAACGGCCCTTTTGGGCTCGCTGGACATGCCCTGAGCAGGGCAGTGCCGAGCTGCGCTGCCCGGAAACCGCGGGGTCCTGCATTTTAACTGCTGGCAACGAAGTGTGTCCTTTTCCTCCTGGATTGGCGTCTGTCTCGTTGGTTTTAATTTGCTTATTCCACGGTACTGTTAGGCGGGTGCAATTCATTAGTTAATACAGGAGTGACTCCGCAGCGGCTGAAGATCATTCTGGCGTGTTGGGAAAAGCCCACAAGATCTTTCATTCTCTGGGTTTAAAAATACTCTGGGAGAAAGAGGACTGCCTTACGCCGAGGTCTCCCTTGGGTGCCACTCTTAGCGTCCACCTGCTGCTTCCGATTTTTATTTTATTTCTTAACATTTGCTTTAATTTGGTTTTTAATTTTTTTTAAAGCTGGGAGGCTGGCATGTCACAAAGTGAACCCTAACCCTCCAGCACCGTCCTGTATTTGCAAATACAAGAGCAAAACAAACGGAAAAGGAAAAAGGTATCCTAAAACATGGAGTACCGCAGGGGACCATTTTGTCCCCCTTGCTATTCAACATCTACATGAAACCGCTGGGAGAGGTCATTAGGAGGTGTGGGCTGCGGAATCATCAATATGCTAATGATACCCAGCTCTACCTCTCGTTCTCCACCAATCCAGGTGAGGCAGTGGCTGTGCTGAACCGGTGCCTGGCCGAGATAATGGGCTGGATGAGGGCCAATAAACTGAAGCTCAATCCAGACAAGACAGAGGTCCTGTTGGTAGGCGGCTCAGGCTTCGTTCGGGGTAGGGGACCTGGACCTTGTCCTGAATGGGGTTGCACTCCCTCTGAAGGACAAGGTCCACAGCTTGGGAGTGCTCCTCGACCCAGAGCTTTCGCTGGAAGCTCAAGTAACAGCAGTGGCGAGAAGCGCTTTCTTTCAGCTTCAGCTGATTCACCAGCTGCGTCCCTACCTGGAGAATGACTTTCTGGCGACAGTGACTCACGCATTGGTAACTTCCCGACTAGACTTCTGTGACGCGCTCTACGTGGGGCTGCCTTGAAGACAGTCCGGATACTTCAATTGGTGCAAAACAGAGCTGCCAGGTTGCTGCCAGGGACTGGGCGTTGTGCTCACATAATTCCAGTCCTCCGTCAGCTTCACTGGCTCCCCATTGAAGTCCAGGTGCAATTCAAGGTGTTGGCTATCCCACCTATAAAGCCCTTAACGGCTTGGGTCCTGGTTACCTAAAGGAGCGCTTACGTCCATATGTGCCCTCCCCCCTTGAGCTCAGCGGGAGAGGCCCTTCTCCGGGAGCCCTCCGTGAAGGACATTAGGAGGGTGAGCACCCGGAGGAGGGATTTCTCTGCGGTGGCACCCCACCTATGGAACGCGCTCCCCAGAGAGGTCCGCCTGGCGCCGTTGTTATTTGTTTTTCGGCACCAGGCCAAGACCTTTTTATTTAAACTTCATTTTAACTGTTGATTTTATTTATTGATTTTAAATCTCCTACCAGGCTGTCTCCAGTATTTTATGTATTTTGTTTAGAAATATATTTATGTATTGGAAGCTGCCCCGAGGCTTATGTGAATGGGTCAGCATACAAGTTGTCCAAATACATACATACATAAAACAGAGCTGAGCTGCAATTTCTCTCCCTTCATCTTCACTACAGTTTGTTAATGATGATGATAGATCTTTATTATGGTCAGAGACCAGACCAAAATAAAACATTAAAAAACAATACAAAAATATTAGAAAATATAGGCAAATATTAACCATTATTTATAAGGTGTACATAACAGTGTCAATACCCCAGTTCTAAGTTGTGTGCTATATACAATGTCCCCATTCCAGGTGACAGACATTTCATCACAATATACTATTTTAATAGTAGTATTAGACCTGTATAGGCATCGGCCACCTTGTGTAAAAGGCATTACTCCTCAGACTTTATCTTTTATCCAGCTAAATAAGTCAGTCCACACTCCTTCAACATACTTCTTTGAATACCTATTGTGGCCACAAAGAATTTAGCAACATTATGTGTAAGTATCGGGTTAAGGTCGGACAGTAATATATAGACATATTGTTCTGTACAGCCTGGGAACTGGTTCATCAAAGGGGAGGTGAATGCAGCCCTATATATGTAGCCCTGTAAAATCTACACCACAGCAGAGCATGTTCTGTGGTTTCTATCTGTTCCATACCATGGGGGCAAAGGCAATCTGACCAAGGGATCTTTTTATACCATCCCTCCAACACAGCTGAGGGAAGACCATTTATGGGAGCCAAGGTAAATGCTCTTCTATGTTAATTCAATTCCAATCGAGCAAGGTAAGGTGGAGCAGTCTCAATGTGACTATAGTCCTCCCTGAGGGAGAATTCTAAGACACTATTAAGATCACTCCGTCTCTCAATATCAGCAGTGTGGCTGCCTGAGGATTCCTGCTGCCTGCTCAGTCTCCATGTCTAGCAGAGTCCACACGTGGAGGCCTAAAGAAGCTAATTTCTGTTTAATTGATTTTATTAGATTTAAAATCATCTTGCAAAATTAATGAAGCAAGGCCAGTTGGAAAATACGACAATCTGAGCCAGTACATAAGGATAGCGACCCATACCCTGGCTTCAATTTTAGTCTGGCCAGTCTCCAATCTTACCTTCACATTGAAGGCATCCCTCTGGACTCCCAATATTGTCCTCAGGAATTTTGACTGTACCCGTTCTAATGTATGAATATTCAGGAAAGGCCCCAGTTGGGGACCATACAGGAATTGTGCTACAACTCCCAGCAGGTCCCAAGCAGCTGGCTGGGCTGGGAATTGTAGGTCTCCTGTATCTAAACATGCACCGGATTGCTCTTTTAATCTATACTTTAAAAATACTCAAAGGTATGTTGAAAACTAACAATGGAAACCATATATGCAGAGCTAATGCTGTTGGAAGGTCAAAACATCTAAGAATAAAACCAACCCTGAACATTACACATGATGACCCAAAAAGATAACTTCTGGGCGACTAGAACCTAGATTATCTGAGTCCCATTCCAAGCTCTTAACCACTAGATACATGGATAGGGTACAAATCCACTTTAAAACACACACACAAACATAAAATTATCAAGTAGATGATGACACCCTGCATGAGGCTGCCCACTTGCTTTGCCAAATGGGAGGGCTGGCCCCTTTGCACGCACCTTTTGGCACATTGGATGCTGAGATTTATGTGCATCATGGAAAGTTCTAGGAGACACCCGGATTATCCCAGTATTTTAAAATGGGGGTCGGTTTCACCACGAGCTTCACTTTTTAGCATCTTTGCTTGGTGAATAAAATTAGCCCGCAGCTCATTCCGCCTCCTCTGGGGCTGAGTGCTGGGAATGTGCTCAGTCCGTAGCTCCCAGGGAGGAAGCACCGCCCACTCCTTGGGCGCAGCATCTTCCCCGCCACGCGCTCCCACACTCGCGTCGCGGAGGGGCGTCCGGCTCGTCCGAGGCAGGCGCCGCAGAAGCCGCCAAGTTCCCCGGTTGACGGACGTGGCGCGCACGGCTCTTCCCAATGGTCCTCCGCATCCCCCTGCGCCGAAGCGCGAGCTTCACCCCGGATCCTCAGCCCGCGGCGGAGGGACCGCTTCCCACGCCCCTGAAAATGGAAGCCAACGTGGTGGTCCTCGGTGCAGACGGGGTGGGAAAATCAGGTGAGCTTCGTCTCTGCGAGGTCGGAAGGGCGAGGCACGGCGGTGAACCCAGCGGATCTGGCGAACGCTCTGTGGACGATTCAAGGCGGGGACCTGAGTGATCTCGAAACCTAATCAGCGTGTGCACTTCAATTTGGCACGCGTCTTCTGAGAGGCACCGGTCTCCTTTGCCTCCCTGAAAACCTAACAAACAACCCGCAAACTGGCAGCATTTCACATGTTCGCGATTGCCTGTGCGCAAGAAAGTTGAATAGTCCGCGCGCTAGCAAACTGTTGAACGAGCTCGTCGGATTTGCAAGTGAACCAGAGGGGTGGAAAAGGAAAGCGTTGAAAGCCTTAGGGCTCATCAGATGGCTTTGTTTCAGTGCCTCCGGTGGAATTATCCACATGGTTACTCAAAGTCAACCCCCCGCCCCGTTTGATTAGCCTTCCAAAACTAGGACTGCAGCTGGAAGTCGGTAAAACTTGGACCTCTGTCTTATAGACAGATAAGCTTTGCTTGGCGGCAAAGAAGCCTCTTTGCTTGAGTCTCGTGTAGGATTGAAGTGTTGACTAAAGCAGTCCAGTTATAGGATCCCTCCAGTGCTCACTTAATCTTGATTGCAAGGAAAATTGGGATCTTATATGCATACTTTCCTGTGAGTAAGGAAACGTAACACAGTGAGACTTTTTCTCAGCAAAGGTACATCTGATTGCACGGTAAGCATGCTTAACTGCAATCTAAACCTGCTGGCAACGATCCTGTGTTCGCATTTTAGCATGAGCACATGGTTGCGAATGCTGCAATTATGCAATATTTAAGTTTTTGGTGCTGCATGACGTAAACGAATTTCCTAGAAAAATCTTTGCGATCATGCAAGTTATATACATCCTGCAAAACTGAATTTTGAGAAAGTGCATGTTTGCAGATTTCAGTTTGTTTCTAGGATTGGTTTTTCCCCTACCATTTTCTCAGACTAAAAATTGAAACAAGTTCCACCTCTCTAGCCATCCTCGTTAGCAGTTACAACTCCCACTCTTTTCCTCAGCTTTGACGGTGCGCTTTCTCACCAGGAGATTTATCGGAGAATATGGAAATCTGGGTAAGTGTCACCATCATCTTTGCCATGCCAACAGTTTTGAGATTGTTGATTTTAGGTCATCCTTAACAACAAGTCCCAGCCAAAGGAACTGATTCTGTGCAAAGTGCTGGATCGTTTCCTTCTTCTGTGCCATGATGATCAGGGATGTGTGGGTGAGTTTGCACATGCATTTTGCATACATGAATCCCAGGTTCAGTGCCAGGCACTTTCAGTTAGGGTGGCTGGAAGAGAGGGAATGAAAAGCCCCACAGAAAAGGACACAGAGTTGCATGAAAAGAGGGCACATAATTGCGTAAAATATGAAAGGAAACCCTCCAAAAGCTCCTCTCTATGGCAGTTCTGCTCATTTCTTCCAAATTCAAGGCTGTGGCTTCTTTCATGGAGTCAATCCATCTTATAGCTGGTCCTTCTTTTCTTTGGCCATCAACCTTTCCTGGCATGATGGTCTTCTAGGGAGTCGTGCCTTCTCATGATGTGTCCAAAATCTAACAGCCTCAGTTTTGTTATTTTTGTGTCTAGGCAAAGCAGTGACTTGATTCGATCCAGGACCCTCTAATGAAACCATCCAAAATGAAACAAGGGGAATAATTATTATAAATAAAAGAGGAACAGACAGAAAGCCACAGTGCGAAGACTGTGACTAGGCTGCCTGTGTGCCCGTGCCTTCTGCTGGCCAGGTTTGACCTGTGGGGGGGGGCAACGTCAAAGCCCCTGCTCTGATATTTTTAGAGTTATCTTTAGAAACATAGAAACAGAGTGAGTCAGAAGGGGCCTCCCGAGCCATCTAGTCTGACCCCCGGCTCCAGCCGGCTCCGCTCACGAAATGCCCACCATGTGGATGTCCAGCCTATCCTTGAACACCCACACCGATGGGGCCTCAGTGACCTCTCGTGGAAGCCCATTCCACACCCTCGGGGTCCTGACTGTCAGGAAGTGCTTCCTGGCATCCAAATGGAACCTTGGCTCCCTGAGCTTTGCTCCACTGGAGCGCGTCCTGCCTTCCTCTGCAGGGGAGAACAGGTCTTACCCATCTCCATGTGACATCCCCTCACATACCTGTATGTCGCCAAAACCAGACTTGGGCTGGCCAGCCCTTCAAAGAGAGACTGCCTTCAAATAGAGGACTGTGCTCTGTAAAGCGGACACATGGCCATCTACTTCCAGTTAAGGGATTTCTGCAAGCCCAGTGTTAACATGGAGTGTCCTCAGTTGGCTGCTGGGCACCCAGTAGTACTTAGTGCTGCATCATTGGCACCTGGGGACAGGTTTGTTCCCGGAGCCCCACAGTGGGTGGGTGACTTGGAGCTGCCATTTTAACTCCTCCCAATACCCGCAATGCAGCATTGCTCCGCAGCATCCCAAGGAATGAAAACAGTAGTTCCAATCTATCCAAGGCTGACTGTGGTGCATGTGAGCAGCCTCAGCCTACAAAACATTGAGGCCACTCCTTCCAAGGCCCCTCAGCCCTGAAGCTGGCGCTTATTTCATGCCTGCAGAAGTAGAATCCAGTTCTCATGGGACTGGTGGTCTATTTTAAACTCCCAGTTCATGTTTGCCATTTTATGGGGCTGCTAGTCTCTAACACCTGCAGAGGAATTCCATGTTGGAAGGGTGTACATAAGTGGATAAAGTGGTAGATACGGAGAGGGGAGGGCTCTTCAGGGTGGCTTTTGGGCAATTAGAATTTTCTGCTTCCTCTCCTCCCACCCCACCCAGAGTCTGTCTACACCCATACTATGGCAGTGGAAGGCAGAGAGATCCTTTTCCACATCTGGGATTTTCCCCGCTCACAGGTGAGGGAGCTCTTTTATAGATTATCAAATGTATTATAGTTCCAGTATTTATATTTCATTCTATTATTACTACAATAAAATGTTCCTACTCAAATCAATTGCTTTGCCTGAAAGTTAAAAAAATTAAAACAAATTAATAGTAAGCTATAACGAGCAGCAACATAATAGATATATAGACAGCAATATCCCAAGATTCCTGAAAATTTGAAAACATGAGGTAAGAACTTCACTTCAGATTCCTTCAAAAAAAGCATACTAGGTTTCCCTGTTCTCCATGGAACACTTAAATAAGGAATTTGCCAATATACTTTAAACAAAGTTTCAAAAGGGAATAGCAGTTGTTTACATTTTTTCCTTACACACCTCCTAGAAATCAGCCATGAAGCTTCCGGAACCAAATGGTCTGAATGTTGTCAAAATCAGCTCTTCATTGTCCTGAATCAAACTTATGAATTCTGCAGTGGAACCATTTTTTTCAGAGTCATACAGATTCCATAGTCTTGCAGGCTGTTTTTCACTTTGGGGGGATTTGTGCTACATAACACAGGCAGCACAGACTGAATGGGGTCTGTAGATCCCTGTTGAGGAGGGTTGACTTCGTGCCTTAAAAAGAGGTTGCCCAGATGAAGAATGCAGCAGGCCGTGAAGGAGGCAGCGACACGAGACTCTAGACTGGCCACTTCAGCATCATGCCCATGGGGACTCTGCTCCATGCTGCCTGCATCCTGACCTGCACTTCCTGCAATCCCACCCTCTGGGGAATAGTCCTGGGGGCACAGGGTGCAGGCAACCGGGAGCTGACAAGGAGGGTTCCCAGTAGGAGCTCCATGGCACCAAACATGGGATCTCAACCAAGACAGAAGTGGGGATGCCACACATTTCTTCTGCTCCTCCAGAAGATAAACCTCATTGGTTAATCTTGCCTAACAGTTTTCTCTGTTTTCCCAATTCAGCCTGGGGTAAAGTGGTCTTAGTCAATTATAATAGTCAATAAATAGATAAAAAACAGCACAAATTTGCATATCCAAAAACCCTCTCCCTCTCCGCCTCCCCTGCAGGAAGGAATGCCTCTTTTAAGACTATTATTTCTGCCTGTGGTGTTTATATGTACTTGTGTTAAAAATATTGTTTACAAATGTCATTTAAATTGGGAGACTAACTGATGCATTTGGACTTCCTATTTAGTCAATGAAAATTATTTTATAGATCAGTCTAACCAGTTTGTTTGCTCAGTGTGGCAGCTTTATTTCTTGCTTAGGAGCATGTGGACAACAGCTTGGTTGAAGATAAACGCATTCAGTGGGCCGATGGCTTTGTCTTGGTCTACAGCATCTGTGACCGGGCAAGCTTCAACAGTGTCCAGCCCAAAGTCCAGTTCATCAAGGCAGCCAAAGAAGGTCCAAGTCAGGAGAAAGTGCCCATTGTCATTGTGGGGAACAAGCGGGACCTGCACCACCGGCGAGTGGTCTCCAGTGAGGAGGGGCGGCTCCTGGCGCTCTCCATGGACTGCAGATTCTATGAAGTGTCCGCATCAGAAGCCTATCATGGGGCCCTTGTGGTCTTTCACAGCCTGGCGGAGTGCATCTGTGAGGCCAAAACAACCCTGAAGAAAGGCACTGGCATCCGCAGCATTGTCAAGAGCATGTCTTCCGTGTTTGGCCGGAAAAGGACAGACTCCATGTGAGGTGGGCTGAGGATCTGGGAATGCCGACCCCTTCCTCCATGCCCCCTCTCTCCTTCTGCCTCTGACATCCAGTGTTGTTCCTCCTCCTCATCCTGAGCCTGGGACAGAAGACTGCAGGGCCGGTCCAGCCCAGTAGGCCATGTGGGTACCCGCTGGGGTGGCAGAATGGAAGAGGCATCAGCCGAGCACCAGGGAGGTCACAGTGGCCACCCGCTCTCTGCCTTTCTGAACCAGAGCCTTGAGACGGCAGCATTGTCTTCGGGAGCCTGAGGCTACTTGCCAAGCTAAATGCCTAAGCCAGTTTTGAGTCTCCTGTACGGAAGGCTGTCCGCCCTAGTGGCGCTGTAACATCTGGCCTTTGTGCGTGGCCGTGTGTCTGCTCCATACCAGACACCCACCAGTTTCCTGAATTAGAAGTGCGGGGATTCTTTCTGCTGAGAGTTCCTTTCAATTTTGGAGAAGCTCTTGGGGACCCCCGGTCCTGGGTGGGACCAAGAGCCCCCCTAGTCCCCCAGTTCAGGCTTATGACGGGCATCTCAGCCTTTCAAATGGGGAAAGCCCTGGGCAAAAGCCAGGGGAAAGAACAGGGCTACTAGAAGGAGACATGGCCTTCTGGGCAGCCCTAGAGAGCCCACCTGAGACCTGCAGAGGGCCAGATTCAGCCCACGAGGCCCTGGTTCAATACCCCTGCACTGGATGGATGGGTCCTGTGACAGAGTGCCCTCTGGTGGCTGGACACCCTCCCATGCTGGAGGGCTGACTTGCAGGGGTTCTCTCGCAGCATCAGGGCTGCCTGTCCTCAGCACCTCACCCCATTTTGGTTTCCCACAATGCCCCAGGCAATACTATGCTGGAGGCGTTAAAACAGCAACTTACACCCAGGTGGGGCAGGTCAGCCATCAATGTTGTGGTTGGTCGGCTGAGGCCAGGAGCTGCCTACATGGCTACTTATGCATCATAAAAAAAATGCATACCGTTTCCATGTGTTCCTTTATACACAGAGACGCACATTTTGACATGACAGCTGTCATTTAAATAGAAATACAGTCCCTGTCACCACAGTACAGAAAAGTGACCAGGGTGCCCCTGTGGCTGCCTCCTCAGCCTGCTCTCCTGGTGCTCACATTTGATGAGCAACTACTTAGAGTCCTCTTTAAACTGGACTCAGACTCATCCTCTTCAAATCGAGGATGCCGTCAAATGGAAGACACTGTATTTTCAGATAACTCTTTTCAGTTCAGCCACTGAAAATGTGCCATTTTAATGCTTCCACTGGTTTTGATCTTGGTGTTTCTATTGTTACAAGGTTTTATTGTTTTTAGTTGTTGCACACTGTTTTGATGGCCTTTCAGGAGATAAGGCTGTATCTGTTAATTATGAATGAATAAAAGAAGGAAGGAATGAAGGACTGCTATTTGAAAAGGAGGACTCACCATTCAAAAGGCCTGGGGATCCTGAAGCCAAGGCTGCAAGGTCTGACTCTAGGCCCTGATGTATGCAACCATGCTTGTGCCCTTCCCTTCTTAAGCCCACGAAGAATGAATGTGGCATGCGTGTATGGTATGTCCTTAGTCCCTCCGTGTAGATATTAGTGGAGTACCTTCTCTCCCCCTGTCTCGGCAGCTTGGAAAGTCACATTGTCAGCTCCAGCTCTCTGCCGAGAAGCAAGGATCCATGCCAGATTCTCATTTGACCTCCAGTTCCATCTTCCTGCTGGCTTTCAACGTGGGTAGGTCTGACTGAGAGGCAGTAAAGTGCAAGCAGGCAGCTGGAACGCTGCGTCCTTCCAGCAAACTTCCCCCTGCATCCCGATGCCTTCTCTGATATCACGCTGGTTGCTGTTGTTAAGTGATGTACGGCACACGCCTATGGTATTGGCAGCTAGGAAAGGGCATATTGTCAGCTGCTCCGCTCTGCCAAGATGCAAGGATCTATGCCAGTTTTCTTTCAACCTCCTGTTCCATCTTCTAGTTGCCTCAAACACGGCTAGTCAATTCTGAGCAATCGCAAATGTGCAAGCGGGCGCCTGGAACACCATGTCCTTGCCTTCCCTCGGAGACAATCACTAGCAGCATGCTCTCGCTAGGCAGTGTACAGCACACACCTGTGCCAGCAGGGAAATGGCCCCTTTCCAAGCCCTTGTGTGGGTGTGGCAGATTTTGAACCAACTGGTCCCAGGAAGAAGCTGCAGCTTGTCTCCTGCTGGGAAATTATCCCCAGGCCCTTGACCGTTGTAGGAAACGGATGAGAAGAGACTTCTTGGCAGCTAGGAAGCTGACAGTGCTGCTGCTAGAGCTGCACTTTAGAGTCACCTTTCAGGCCCTGGCAGGGCAGGTTGGGGCAAAATTACCATTGCAGAAGGCAATGAGCACATCGGGAGAGCAGGAGAAAAGTCTCTTTTTAGTCCGGCAGTCACAGTGGTGGTATGATTTCAATGAGTTTAAATACCAAATTGCACAAGCTCAGAGTGTTTTTGTTTGGTTGATTTTTAATTTAGCTTGACAAACAGGTTTCTTGTTCTTCTAACATATCAGGCATGTAAAAGCAACTGTAAAGCTTGGAATGGCATTTGGAGTGGTGATGAAAAAATACTAGGACCCAACAGGGCCATTCCACAAAGTTGGTTGTTGAGACATTCAGTACAGAGGGTTAACCTGTGGAATTCACTTCCACAAGATGTAGGGGGGCAGGTATCAATTTGGATGGCTTTTTAAAAAAGGATTATGGAAGAGAAAGCTATCAGTGGCTGCTAGCCCCAGTGACTTACGCTATGTCCAGTCTCGGAGGGTGTTCCAGTGTAGACAACTTGCTGGGGAGCATGGGTAGGAAGGTGCTGTTTCCATTCCTATTCTGCTTGTGGAATTCCCAAGGACAGTGGATAGGCTGCTATACAAAGAGCATGCTGAAGTGGGTGGACCCTTGGTCTGACAGCATGGCTCTTCTTATGCTCTTCAGCACATGTGGAGTGGCCTTGTTTCACTGGACAGAGATCGGTGGATGGAGATTCTTGGCATGGTACAACAGGGCCAAAGACAGAGGCAAAGTAAAGAATAAGTGAGGGTCAGACACATGGCAAAGGTCCAGAGGCAGAGGCAGGAGCAGGAGCAAGCAAGGCCAGAGATCAAGAAGGCATGACAGCTTCAGAAGCAAGTGCAGAATCAAATCAGGAAGAGGCAAGGATTAGGTGCCAACAAAGTGGGTCAGAGCCAGAGGAAAAGGAAAGGGCACAGGTACCTGGCAAGGTATGAAGACAAGGACAAGACTAGAAGCAGGATCAAGAGCACTGCAAAACCACCACAAAGGCCCACATGCTGAACAGTGCAGGAAAGCCTTTCAAGGCTTCCAGGTGGTCTGCATGGATGCACAGGTACCAATCCTTACAATTGCCTACAGGTGTGCTCCTGATCCTGCAAATTTTCGCAAGGTGAATTGTGTTGCTCCTGTCGAGAAAGCCACAATGGCAGCCACAACAAAGAAAACCAGGCTTAGTTGGGGAGGAACCGCTTTGCCTCGAACCTCAGCAGTTTTATTGAAAGATCACCCAAGGCCCCTGCAGTTACTTGCGACAACATGCTACCGGGCAGTGGTCTGCACCACCAACTACAAGCTTTTAGAACATATACAGAGTATTATATAGATTCTGAGTCACAGTAGATGACAAAATAAGGTGAACACAGTCAGAAGAGGGTGAGGGGTCTGCAGAGGGGGCTCAATACAATGGCATTTGATTGCAGGATAGTAACATAATGGTCATAGGTTTATTGTGAGTCTTGGCATACAAATGAGGGTGATTGCAATGCAGCCTGACCAGTTCTTACTGATCAGTAAAACAACAGCCCTGGAAGCTTCTTGGCTAAGCCATCAAGTCCTGCTTCTTAAAGTAACAGCAAATGCCAAACAGTAACCTGGCTTGGATTTTTTTGGGGTGCTTCTTAAGAAAGGGGTGCAGGAATTTTATAACACAAAGATACATAAGCATCCCTCTTCTGCCAGCATTTATCTAAATTTTCCCAGCACTCTGCACCAGGGGCAGCTGGGTCCAGTCTCCAGACCCTGACAGAGGGGCACAGGGAAGGGGCTGCCCGGTAGGCTGACTGAAAGACCAGCTCCATGCGCAATCATTCAGGTGCGGAGGGGAGAAGAGACACACTTTGCCAGGTAATGGTGGCGTGGGAAACAAGAAGCAGCCGGCAGCAGGCGTGGACAGGAAGAGGAAGGGCAAAAGCTGCCCACACACCTGCTGTCTGTGGCAGTACATAAGCTGAGCGGACATTTCATGGTTTCTGCACAAAGCAAGTCTCAGGAGATCAGCAAGAGAATGGGGAGGGGGAATAGGAGGAGACGGGAGTAAAGAGACTTCAACAGTTCTGGGATTCAGCTCCTTGAAGTCCCTGCCCGCATGGCCAATGCTAGCAATGCTGAGAGTTCAAGCCCCTGACATCTACGATCTTCTGCACAGCCCTGATGAAGATGGTCCCTGGCTCAGTCTTTCTTGAAGGTGGTGCTATAGAGTCCTGTATATTGAGCCCTGCTATACATCACTTCGGGGTTGGTGCGCAAGAAACCTTCACTGCGTCTTCTGCTATAAGCCCCATCTGTATAAGGAGAGAATGCTGATTTGCGGGATCCTAGATGCTCGTTTTCAAAAGCAAGGCCCCGGCCATGTTCAAGAGCTTGCTGTGGAACTGGAGGATCATCCAGATTGATGAAGGGAATGGGGAAGTGCCCTCGACTCAGTCGCCTCTCCCCGTGCAGTAGAAAACTGAACTCACTCCCCTTGGGATGGGCAGCAATGGAAGGAGCGTCTTCCAGCTGCTGGCCTGGCCCAGAATCAGCCACGGTCCTGCTTGCAGCTCTCTCTTCTTCCACCAAGACCTTTGGGAACTGAACCAGTGAGAAATGGGGTGCATGAAGGGGGTGGGGGAGAGAAGAGGCAAAGGAAAAAGAAGCAAATTGAGGATAAACCAAAGCCCTTCCTGCTGCTTTGACTTAAGATATGCTGGCAACTCTGACCCTGTCCCAGATGTGTTTCTCTCCAGATGTTTTAGACCAGGGTTGCAGAATGCCAAACTTGAAGTCCAAATTCAGCCCCCGAGGTTCTTGATCTGGCTCTCCAGGGCTCTGTGGAAGACCACACCCCTTCCCCCGACCACCCCTTTCTCCTAGCCTCACCCCTGGTATTTTGAGGCTGTCCCCATCTTTCCCTTGGTCTGACTGACCACTGCAGGACTGCCACCAGAGCTCATCTGAAAATGAAATTTGCCCTTGAGCTGAAGGAGGTTCAGGACCTCCAGTTTTACAGGACAACTCCCTTCAGCACCCTCAGCATGACTCACAGTCAGGGCCGTTCAGACTTCTGAAGAGTGCCAGTCAGGGACAGAGGGCGGAAGCCAGCCAGCACCGACTGGTCCTCAGACTGGAATACTGCATGTGAGAACACTGAATGCTCTCCATCACTTGGTTTACTGTCAGCAGGGAGATCTAAGCTGCTGGGCAGCCGCTCTCACCACCTGAACAAAGCCCCCTTCACTCCTCGGAGGACAGGCTGACGACGTCTGCAGTTCTTCCCGCATGAGGCCATGTCCCAAGCAGGAGCTAACGTGGGCATTGCTGGGGAAATCCAAATAAATCATGTAGACAAAACAGAAGAATTTATATGTGCTGCTTGAGTGAAACCACAGTGCCCTGCTCCCATTCCCAGAAAACCCTGGAAGACAAGCTCCTTTTCCCAACATTGAACAAAATCCTGCCCTTTCCTTGCGTAGCTGAAAGAGACTCCAGCTCTCTGCTTAGCCTGAGGCCACCGGTATCCTCTTTGGTGTGCAGCCAAGTGTTGTCAGTGTTGCAAAGTTAATCTTCTGCGGAGTTAAGAAGGTGCATAACTTTGCTCAGAGGCTCTCAAAGAATGTTATTTTGTCCCAGTGCTGCTGCTGGCTGGGGCAATCGCCTCTGTTTGTTCTCATTCTGTTGCCATTGCATATGCTTACATGTTCACTCACCCCCAAGACCTGTCATGATTCATGTGCCTTTACTGACTGTCATGTCAATGCTCTGCAATCACAGATATTTGTGGTACTATTGTGTCATGTCCCCCTGCAGTTCCTTGATATTGTTTTGCCCATGAATTTATGTGACCACTCTTTCCTCATCATTTGCTGTGTTCCTGCACACGTAACTAGAAACTTATAAAACATTTTGTGTATGTTCTGGGCCCCTTCATGGATCACTGTCTTGCCTTGGCAAAGGGTCTTGAGTAACACAATGAAGCTGTGAGCGCTGCCGTGCAGGGGCACCCAAGACGGACAGGTCATAGCAGAGAGCTCTGACAAAACGTGATCCACTGGAGAAGGAAATGGCAACCCACTCCAGTATCCTTGCCATGAAAAAACCATGGACAGTGCCAAAAGGCAAAGAGATATGACGCCGGAAGATGAGCCCCTCAGGTCGGAAGGCGCATCACTTCGCAACTAAACAAACAAACAAAAATGTTCTGGAAATTTGTACCCTGTTTGTGCACCTCTGCCTGGCAGTGCTGTTGTAGGTCTGTCCCTGCAGAGGGTTTTTTCCTGGACATTCTCACCCATAGAACTTATGAAGTGTATAACATGGACGTCTCCCCATGGATCCGAGCGTACATTCTGGCAGGCTGCTAGTCTGGGATTCCCTGACAGCATGTTGCAGGGGACCTCACACTAATGTGTACCTGTCCCAGAACTAAGGTATGGAAGGGACCCTGGTCAGTGAGCTCTGCTTAGGTGACAGGGATATTCTCATCAGACATGATCGTATCATGAAAAAGAAATTCCCATGTGGCCCAATGTGATGGGGACCTCCTCCAGCTATGGATGGTGGGTATAAAACTGAGGTGGGGAGAGGGGAAGGGGGATGGAGGAGGGGTGTGTGTGTCTGCAGGTAGGCCAGGTAATGCACTAGCCCAAAGCATCTGAAGATCCAAAGCAATACCTACCAGGGCTGGACCTGCTGTCAGGCAGACAGCAGGCAGGCACCTCAGGCGGCAGATGCCAGCAAGGCAGAAGCGGACTGAGGGAGTCCCGGGCCAGACAGCCTGCTCTTTGTCTCCTAAGCCAATCTGCCTCTCTCAGGTGTGGTGGAGGCAGGATCCCATTGTCAGTATCAAACAAAAGTCCAGCCGTTACCATTTGACATGGAAAGGACAGGGCTGCCACCTTGTCCTTTGTCTCAGGCCTCAAAATGTAGCAGGCAGAGGCCATATTAAATATTGCCCTGGGGGATGGACCCCGATAGTTTCTATCCTTAAGGCTGTGCATGGCATCAGGCCAACCCCAGTTATGCCTGTCAAGCCAGCTCCCCTGCTGTGGGAAGAAAGGTAACTTACAGGTACATAGAGGAAGGTGGTAGTAAGCAGGCTGCCCGTGATGCTGCGCAAGGTGGTCCCCAACATGCCCACTTTGGCTCCAGCCTTAGACAAGGCCTCCTGTGGAGAGAATAGCCAAACCGGCACAGCTGCGTTCCAAGGCAAGAAGGGGGCATTCCTCAGGCGCGAGACGGTGGTGGCACAGGCCGTATGTAGTCCCCGAGTCAGGCTGCCCTGCAGCTTTTGCCTCTCTGCCTTCTCTACTGGCTAGAAGCAGAAAAGAAAACCAAGCCACCTGGTGAACAAGCATGACCTTCATGGCAAGTAGCTCCAACTCAGACACTGCAGCCATGAGCATCCTTTCCCTGCCGAACCTGAGTCAGTGATACAGTAAATGGTCCATAACGCTTTATTTCTACCCTCCCCCAAAAAACACATGTTTTGCAACACATTGTCTCCTAGGGCCCAGTTAGTAACACAGTGCATGATCACAATCCAAGGAAATTTGTGGCAACTAGGATAGATGCATTACTGGGTCAAATCTAAAAAATTGTGTTCTGTTCTTTTCTTTCAGGAGGCACTCTATAGGAAGCATATATATTTATATACACAGCTCTTGGGGTAAAATAAAAGTAGCCCATTAGGTTTTCGGGGTCTTTATCTCTCCAGATATCTTTATCTCTTAAAATCTAAATCATGTAAGGGAATTTTATGCAATTGTCATATTTAGATAATGTTTGCAAGTATGTCAATAAAAATATTTCAGAGCAAACCTGAATTCCCAATATTATGGTATTGGAACATTTGGTGGAAAAAACATCAGTAGCTCATCTCATCATAGAAACAGCGAATACGAAGGGGTCTCCCGGGCCATCTAGTCTGATCCCCCAGCCGTCTCCACTCATGACATGCCTACTTTGTGCATGTCCCTCCTATCCTTGGACACCTTCACTGATGGGGCCTCAACCACCTCCTGTGGAAGCCCATTCCATACCCTTGGGGTCCTAACTGGCAGGAAGTACTTGGGATTTCCAGGCTACGTCCTCTATTCAGTGCTATGTTTGGAGACTGGACAATGGCCTGGCTGAACTCCATTGGGTTTTGGTTACACATATATTATAAAGCAGATTGTGACCATTTGGCACATCGTCTTGTGTCAGACTCCACACCTGCAACAGGGCAGCATGAGGGAGGAAGGAAAGCAACTGAAAGACATCCTTAGCATTGCTGCTGTTCTGTCAGACCCTAAACTGGACACTTCCTCTTCCCCCCACCAGACCTCTGAAACTTCCTTTGGGATTCAGAACAGTACCACAAGTTTAGCGCCCTCTGGTACATATACTGGGAGCGGGGATGCAATATATTTAAAAGTTGTGATGTAACTCTTCTGGGACAGTATGGCAGAGATAGTGTGAGAAGGATGGGCTGGAGTGAGAGGCACGTGTCACAGCAGCGAGTCAGGCACTATCACGCCAGTAAAGATGCTGAGTATAGATCGTTCCACAGGCAGGCTGCTTACCAGACTGGGAATCCACATAGCCAATGCCTTTCCTTTGTCTCTTGCATGCTGGATGGCTCGGGATATCTGTCTGTAGGGATGCTGGGAAACAGTAGCAGCAAATGCTCTTATCTTCCCAAAGGCACTGGTCTGAAATGCTTCCTTAGACATACATTTCTCTGGAGGTTCATGGGCTACAGAGAAAAAGATGGCGGTGCGGGGGTGGGGGAGGGGGAGAAAACATTCGTGCAATCGGTGAACAAGGCTGTCTTTTTCCTCATGCTTTTATTTTTGTGACTCCACAGCATAGCTATGAATGGATAGGCTAGGATACAAGACAAGCAGGCTGAGTGGGGACTAGAAGCCGGATCTCCTGAGTGCCACTCCACACTCCTAACCAGCACGCCACACTGGCTCTCATCTGTAACATCTGAACAGACATGCATCGGATTGCACTGCGATCCACTCAAACTAGTGTTAATGCATTCTTCATTAATTCCCCAGCTTTTTACTGAAGGATACAAGGCATCTTACAATTTAAGAAAATGGTGTGAAACAAAGAAAGAGGGAAAGAAAGGTAAAATGTAAAACATAGAAACATGGAGAGCTGGTCATCTAGTCTGGGCCATCCTGGACTCCTGGGCCATCTAGTCGGACTCCCGGCTCCAGCCAGCTCCACTCATGCAATACCCAACATATGGATGGCCAAACTTTCCTTGAACACCCTCACCACCTCCTGTGGAAGTCCATTCTATGGGTCCCATTCCTAGGTGTCCTAACCGTCAGGAAGCACTTCCTGACATCCACCTGAAACCCAGTTCCTAAAGCTTTGTCCCATTGGACCACATTCTTTTCTTCACTGCAAGGGAGAACAGGTCATGACCTATACCATGAGATACCCCTTCATATACTTATATGTCACAATGAGATCCCCTCTGAATCTCCTCCAAGCTGAAAAGGTCCAGTCCCCTCAATCTCTCTCATTTAGAAAAAAGTTATTGAATTTTATTTTAATTAAAATAAAACCCATAATTACACAAATTATGACTCCCGACTCCAAGCAGAGCAGAGAGAGACATCAGAGCAAGCTGTCCCAGCTGGTCTAGGGCTTCTGGGACATAAGCAGCCCCGGGAGTAAGCAACCAGAGCAAGGGGACAGGGAGAGCAAACAGGAGTTTGGCGGAGGAGTTGTTGTAGTGGAAGAGGAGGCAGAGGCAAAGCAGAGGCAGGCCTGGACTAGCCCAGCTAAAAGTCTATTGTTCTGAGGTACTCAGAGAAGGGTCTATTGTTTTATGGCCCTACACAGAGAAGGGCCTTCTCAGCAGTGGTGCCCCGACTGTGGAACATGCTCCCCAGGAAGGTTTGCCTGATGCTGTGAAGTCTCGCTGCTGGGAGGACTGGCCTTTGTCCTCTTTGGTGATGGGAAACTTCACAGATTTATTGGCATACCCAAGACTTGTGACCACCCACAGGTAAAGCAGGTAAACATTAACCTGACTTGTGCTCATCGACTGAATGAAGGACATCCACCAGTTCCTCCAGCTTACCAGGAGTTGCATCTACTCCAGCTTCCACCACCTGGCTTACTTGGCTGCTCCTGACGTACTCTGTGGTGTTGTTCATGCTGATTTTGCACTCTTCATAATTTCTGGCAACTAATCCAAAGGCTCCAAAGATATTCATGAGGGACTGAATAGCACTTTGGATGTAAGTTAAGATGGAATCCTTTACATCTGAAGTAACCTGGAGAAGGAGTCGACAAAGAAGGTTCCTTATGGCCCATTCCTGCCTTTCAAGTCAAAGCAAGATCAGCAGAAAGGAACCAGTGCTAAGTAGAAAGGCTGTCCTGAAGGTCACTAGGTCAGGAACAGATCTGTAGGGGCTGTTGTGTCAGCTGCTTGCAAGCAGCAACTGGAGATTTAAATAGTCAGCCCAGCTGCCCCACCCTATGCTCATGGAGGCCTGATTCTGACTTCCTTATGAACATGGCTCCTTCTTCTGCATAGCTTCTCCATCTGGCACAGGAGGCCTCGTGCCACCACGCTGGCACTGAGCCGTCAGTTTGGGATCAGTGCCGTTGCTCTCAACAACTTGGTGCTGAATGTGCAGGGGCTAGAATTGGTGTGAATCTGTTGGGGCACCATGTGCTTTTTGGACGATCTTTCAATATATTTTTGGACTACCCTTAGACTATAGTCTTGGCAGAATTTCCTCTTGGGCTCAATAGCTGTACCATGTCTCATTAAGGAGCTACATCATGGATGGGTGGGAATTATTAACTCTATCCATAGTTAAAGTTTTAACTGTACCTGAAGAGACACAAGCAATGGTGAGGAATTCTTGGAATTGTAGTCCCAATTTGTAATGCAAAACAGATTTGTGGGAGGCCTGTATCTACCCTCAGGTGCTGATTTTCAGGTAGCTGTGAAGACAACCCCCACAGTCAAGAGAAAGGTATCATCAAACTTGGGGGAGCTCTGAGGTTTGCAGAAGTGTAACAAATGTTAGGAAAACATTGTGGGGAGAGGAATTAACCCCAAAAAACCTCATCCTTGGGGCCAAGGAATGCTGCTGGCTGTTGATGCTGGTAAGAGGGATGGAAAAGCTGGGATGAGGTGGAGGGAATGGCATGGAATGGAACTGGAGTAGCTTGATTGCAGTATCCACACTGCAACATTTTGTTGCAGCTCCCATTTGTGCTATCTAAAGGCAACCTTCACATTCTGAGGCTATTTACTGCTGAATATTACACGAAACAGAGGAGCGTAGCTGAGCTGAAGCCACGGCTGGGTGAGCCACTGGGTGCAGCTCAGTGATGCAGCCTGTGTGTTACATGTGGAAGTTCCCATTTTCAATCTCTGAAATCTCTAGTTCGAAGACTCACATAGGAAGCAGAGAAGGAGGAAATACCCACCTGAGATGTTGTAGATCCACTGACCAACGACTCGAGTAGATAATACTACAAGAGCTAAAAGGACAAATTATCTATCTTCCCACAGCGCAGCTTTCTACATTTCATGCCAAAACTCTTGGTTTAATCCAGCAACACAGTCACTTACGGCCTTAACTTACTTTCTCCACTGGCTTGTGGAGGGCAGGGATCTTCTGCTCCAAGCGGTCCAGACCTTGACATGCCAGGGCATTGACTGCTGCAACTGAATCAAAGAGGACGTGCATATTAGCGCAGTGCGAGGGCAGCATGGCTCTGGACTGGATGATTTGGCCCATGCCGGTCCATGCACACCCATCCAAGCCCCCTTGGGTTTCCAGATAGACCTGGAGGCAGAAGGTAATTCTTTGCTTGACATCCAAATGTTATGTTGGTGCAGAATTACAGATAACAAGGGAAGTGTTTGCAATGAGCATTTGTGTGTCTGTGGGCGGTGCATCTCGGGGATACTTGTTACATTCCTGCACTTGTTCAAAGCAGAACACTGGGTGGAAAAAAAGCACATGCGTTTCTTATTCCCTTTTGCAGCCTGGGAGCCATCTAAGGAACTTCAAGGCAGAATAAGATGTGATGGACAGAAAGCCATGTTTGCGTCATTACAGTAGTTCTCATTTTCTCAGGAGAGGCAGAGATCTAATTATAACAGGAAAAGGAATGTGAGTGGGATGAGAGAAACGTCCTCTCTCCTGCCTAAAGTTTATCTAATTTTTCCCTCAAGAGCAGGGCTTGGCAACTTGGAGTCATGTAGATATTTTGGCCTCTGTGTCCCATAATCATTCTGACAGCAGTTATAGGATAAACCATCCAACTTGCCCATCCCTGCTGCAGAGCAAGCACACATGGCACTGATTCAGATTCAGATTGGGACCACTGTGTGCTCAGGATTAGGCCACCCCATCCAGCATTTGCTTTCCAGTACCTGCTTCTGCACCACACAGATATTAAAAAAATGGGGAAAAAAGCCACCAATGGATGCCAGTATGGATTTGCATGGAGTGAGTGGGAGGAGAGAGGGATTTTGAAAAGCTGAAGTGGGCAGAGCATTGTAGGAAATTAAGGTGGCAGCTTCCTCAAGGCTGCTGTAAGAAGTAAACTTGGTGTCTAGATGGAGCCACCTGGCATTGTGTAGAGCAGTATTTTGTATTTTGGGTCCCAAGATACATCTATATCTCTACCCCTCTATCAAAGAACCCAGGTCCCACTAGGATAGAAAGGCTCACTTTTCCAAGAAGCACATCTATCTTTTTATAGGCATTCTGTTATTACCGTATTTTTCGCTCTATAAGACGCGCCTGACCATAAGACGCACCTAGTTTTAGAGGAGGAAAGCAAGAAAAAAAATATTCTGAATCAAATGGGCACGTAATCACAGGCACATTCCCCATCACTTCCCCATGGGCTGCACATCTGACAGACTTACTGCACACACATATTCGCTCTATAAGATGCACAGACATTTCCCCTTACTTTTGAGGGGGAAAAAAGTGCGTCTTATAGAGCAAAAAATACGGTATATTTATTGCTCCCAATAACTTTTAAGGACATCCAGAGACTTTTTAGGATGGCATATAAAAACTTTAAATAGATAAATAAATAATGCAGTAGCATTGCTGGGGGTACATTTTGTTGCCAAGGCATTAGAACACAAACAAACTAAAATAATTGATGCTCAAAAGGCTTCTGCTTACATGCCAGAAGGTCAGAGATGGCTACTCTGGGGGTGGGGGGAGAGCATTCAGGATTCAAATGTGGCACCACACATCTGCCAGTGGATGAATTCCCAGGAACTGTGAGGAAAAGCCCACATCCCACCAAGGCTACTTCTGTGTCTGCTGGTGACACAGATGCCAACTGAGTGCTGCTGCATTAGATTACTGAGCTGAGGCGGGAAATATTTTTCAGAAAGAGGGCCCAGGGCAGGGAATGGCGGTGTATCTGGTGGTGCATCTGGGGTCCTAAGCATGTACCTGTTGATGCTGGGCCTAAAGCAAGGAAATGTAGCTGCCCTGGTCATGCATTTTGGCCCTCAGACAGGGGTTACCTGGAGGGCCCAGCTGGTGTGCCATAGGTTTCATGCTCCACGCAACCAGAGATGTGGCACTTTGGACGCATCGTTCATAGGCCCCGCACACTAACGCCATGAGGGGATGGACCTCTTTGGTGGTGGTATACAACTTCTGGAGGCTGTTGCAAGCCGAATTCACCACTGGAAGACGCAGGAACCTTTTCAGTGCATTACTTTCCTAGGAAGTATGGAAGACAAGAAGGGGACCAGTCCTTGCAGGAGGAAAATCTTAGTTTTCTATGAATCAAATATGTGGATTCTGAAAGCAGACCAGCTTTTTCCAGCTACATGAATTTGTAGACCTTTAAACGAAAATCTTGTGGGTGGATTTCTGGGGGAAAGGCCACTCGAATGACAACGGCTAGATGCCACTCACCTTCTTATCTTGTTCAGGAGGGTATTAAACTGCCTCCTGAGAGGTAATTCTGCATCTCTAATTGATAGGTGAGCTTACGGATTTGTCTAATGCTCTGATAACAAGATAATTTGAATGAGGCCAGACTCCACCCCACATGTACTTTCCCTTTTTTCTTCTCTTTTTCCTTTTTCTCTTTATTATTTTATTGGTATTGTAGTAACAACAACAACACTTTAATTTGTTGCAGTTTGGATTTTTAAGTCTTTTTTTTGTTTGCAAATTTGGACTCGAACAGACAATCAGATGACTAATGACGTTTTATTTATTTATTTTTTTTCAATTAATATCCTGCCTTTTTCCTACAAAGGGCTCAAGGCAGCTTACATCATTCTCCTCCACTACCTTATCCCCACAACAACAACCCTGTGAGGTAGGTTGGGCTGAGAGTCTGTGACTGGCCCAAAGTCACGCAGTTGGCTCCATGGCTGAGCGGGGACTAGAACCCAGGTCGCCTGAGTCCCAGTCCCATGTTCTTAACCACTGCACCACACTGGCTCTCTTTACATGTAGGCTGTTTATAGTTTTTGTTTCAGAACTAAGAATTGAGAAGCGTGGATAGTGTAAACTGAGTTTGGCAAGAGAATATTAACTGGGAGTATTTTTGTGTTTATTTGTGGCTTTTAATTGAAGAATAACTGCATGTTCCGGACAGCTTGGACTTGAGGCTGAGACTGTTTCTCAAGGCATTCCCGTTTGTATGTTTGGAAATGACTTTGAAACAGATATTTTATTTGTTTGACTTGTAATAAGATCTTATTTTGAGAATTCTTTGATATTACTCAAGAAATTAATCACAGGCATTGCCAACTGGCCATGACTGAGATTTCAGTGAATTGGAGGAGGTGATGTCTCTTTTTCTTCGTTGCCATTTTCTGAGGAGTGGCTGCCTATGTGAGTCGAGAGATTCTTTGTCGCTCTGATTTGACTGATGTATGACTTGTCTTAAAAGGCTTCTAAGATCATGGCAACCGGTCCTATCACTTCCTGGCAAATAGATGAGGAAGAAATGGAGGTAGTGACAGATTTTCCTGGGCTCCAAGATCACCACAGGCGGGGACTGCAGCCAAGAAATTAAAAGACGCTTGCTCCTAGGGAGGAGAGCTATGGCAAATCTAGACAGCATACTAAAAAGCAGAGACATCACCCTGCCGACAAAAGTGCGTATAGTCAAGGCTATGGTTTTCCCAGTTGCAATGT